GGGTTATTGCATGTTAATTTCCATTATAGTACTAGCGCACCTAATGCCTTCGCTGGGTGAAAATACAATATTAGCCTCAACGTCCTCGCTATTGTGACGCGCAAGGCCGAGTCTAATAGACAAGCTTAAAACAATGACAGAGGTTACTAGTATTTCCTGGTAGCCGTATGAGCAGGAGCTCAGACATTGAATTGTTTAATTCTACCTGTGATGTTGAAGAGCGTATCAATTCGACCGTGCCAAACTCACAAGTTTGTGTATGATCAAGTACACAATCGTTTGCTGTTTTGTGCCATCTAAGAGAGCGCCAAAAAAGCAATTTATCAATACAATTGATATTATTGAAATATATTTACCTATATATATTGCGTGCCTTGGCAAATCAGGAGGTTACGGCAAGAATTCCAACATAATTCTGTCGTCCAATTAAGTCCATAATGAAGCCTAGTTTCGGGTTAGAGAGGAACTTCGTCAAATCAACTACTAACATAATCCCCCATGGACAAAACGACATTCTCTTCAGGTTGTTAGTGGCATATTCAGTTCTATTGCAAATTATCTTGATGTTCAATATTTTATTAGTAATGACGACTCGGACATTTCAGGCTATCGCAAAGGTCGACCACTTCATCGATAGTGGATTCCAAAGAACAACTAGTACATACCTAGATAGTCTAGAGTGGAGCCAAGTGATTATAAATAAAATTACCGGTACTTAAACGAGTGCAGCAGATTTGCATAAAAGCACTATGTCTGTTGCAAGAATAGAACAACTTGGCTACATCTCTAGCTTTACCTACAGATGCTTGTTTTGAGTGACTTTGAGGTCGATCGCAAGTCGACTTGCCAGGCAGGAAATTTCTAGAGATAGTATTGTAATTCATTTAATTCGCATTCCGTACCTATCGCACTTCTTACCCAACACAACAAACCTCAGGGGTCGGAGCCGTGATTAATTTCTAACCTCAGCTCCAGCCTTGCGACCGGCATGATATGCAGCCAAGTCTTCCACCTTGACTATACAGCGTGTCGCCATGCTATCCATTTTCACCTTCGCTGTAAAGGGCATCACGTCTATGTATAGACTGGTTTAAGCCAGGCAAATCGATGATCACACTAGATTGGATATAGAAACATCCCCGCCTGCCTCCAAAGGCTTAATTCGCGATCTAGTGTTTTTAATTGTCGGTGATCGAAGATTTTCATAATCACCTAATGACATGGGCGAGGTTAGTGGTCCTTTATAGATGAAGGAAATGTGGAATGGTAAATTAAGGCCTTGTTTTAATTTTCTACAATTTTAGTAGCATAGTGCGACAGGGCTGAGATGCTGTTAAGCTCAGTGAGGGGTTGCGGGATCTCCGGGACGCCATATTCTAAATTTATCTCCTGGAAGCTATCTGGATGCAACGTACGCCCCTCTTCATGTAAAGCTCTCATTCTATACACCCCTAAACAAGCTAGAAAAAACACTCTCGAGGATCGACCCCTACAGCAACATCTTTAAGTGGTGGACATATTTCCTATTCAACTAGACCCTCAAGCCACCTTCCAGTTCGGTTCCCAAGAGTAGTCGATCCGGCTAAAATCTTCAATGTTTTTGATGTCAAAGCGCTCTCTATAGGGCTGTATTATATGATATTCCCCTCACGCGGAGAGGGGCACGTGGATACTGAGAAGACGCAAGTGGGGGATCGGGGGACCTTCGAAGCCTGTCGCTAAGCTTCTGCCGTCCCACTTAAAATACCCGAGAAAGCTAGCTAGACAGTTGCTTGATTTTCTGCGGCCGTAATTGGATATCTTGGCTAGCATTAAAATCTTGCTTGTACATTGCGGTTTCTATACACAAGTACCTACTTCGCTTAACTGACGGCTTTTCTACGTTTCTGACGAATTGGACGATCGTCATGAGATTCCTACTCGAGAATTCAATATTCAATAGTCACCAGATAACTTTTTTTCCCGATTATTGTGCCATGGAGATTGCTGCGTTAAGACTGTTTCTCAATTTTGGAGTGCCATTGATTGGCCCGGATTCCACGGTACCTGGTGGGTCCTACTGTTGACTTTGATCGAGGACCCATTTTTAGAGCCACGTCATTTGCGGGCCAAATGATTAAGCTAACCTCCTCTTCGGCACAAGCGGTGGCTTTACTCCGGCTTTGATCAATCGCAGATCAGTATTCCGAAACACCGAACTTCCTGGTTGCCGGAATGAGAATGGTTGTTTCTAACCATTATACCAGCTGCACCAGGAAGCTGCATATAAAAGATTATAAGTGCAGGCTGCAAAGTTGAACTGCAGCTATATTGGATTGTTCCGTTTTCGTCAATTCTGACCGACTAGTCTAATTTTTATACTTGGTAGCTAAGATACCACTGTCTACTTTCCTATGACAGGGATGATGACTTAAAGTGGGGATAGCTGCACGGGCAAAGATACTATCCCCGATTCATAGCATCTCCGGTCTATATCCCTGCTCGTTATTCTGCTCTATTTCTTATTGCGTCCTAGTCGAGAGGAGCTATGGACCTACTGGATACTTCTTGAAGCCTAGCTTTATCACGCGGTCCCCTCGCGAGGGGAACTTGGTGAATCTCCAAAAACTTGTACTGTTAGGTCTGGATTCGGATGAGGGGATGCAGATCCGTATAGCCATGGGTTTGTCCTAGGTGAAGTTTTGTGTGCTGGGAATCAAATATATAAAAGCCGACATAACCCAGCCCTGGAGTGTCTTTCGTTTCATTCATAATTGACGGGCTTGTCATCAATCAGAACGGGCTGCAAAACTCCAGCTTGCGGCTCTGCCACCATGAAGCTCCAATTTTCGTCTTCTGTTGCTTCTCTGCTTTTAATCCTTCTTCCACTATCCTATGCATTCCCTGCACGCCGAGCAGATGAATCAGCGAGCAACCCTGGCTTGAAAGGATCTAAGACCCTGATCGGGTACTCGCCTTCTGAAAAGGTCGGCAGCACGACGACTCCCGACATCAAGTACAGCCTCCTCCCTGGGCAAACCAATGATCCCGACATCGGCACTTGGCTCGACTTCTCGAAAGTTGATAATCCGCAGCCAATTCGGGGAGATACAGGAGGAGATGATCCTGGTCCACGTGAGTGAAGAAGCTGCTATTTTAAAATATGACACTCATCATTTCCCAGGAAACTTGAACTACGATAGGATTCACAGTGACAAACTTGCTCCTCCCGGCACAGACCACGGAGCAACCATCAATGCACAGTGGCCCATGGGTAGGTTCTCCTTTGGCAACAATGATAACATATACTAATTCATGACATAGGTCTCAGTCACAATCGGTTAGGCTTCAATTCCTATCAAATTTGGCCATGCTAACATTTTTAGGCTTGGAATCGATAATGCTGGCTGGGCTCGCCAAGAGAATACTGTCGTGATGCCGGCTGCTACCGAGATGGGTAAGGAAATTCTTAGCTCGGTTTTATTTTAGCTCTCTAATCAATATTCAAAAGCCGGTGTCGATATGCGCCTGGAACCTGCCGCATACCGAGAACTCCATTGGCACGTTGCTAGTGAATGGTCTCTCATTTTGAATGGATCTTGCCGCATCCAGGTATGCACTATATATTTTGAGATTTACTAAATAATGTGGATTAACCAACTTCGCAGGCTGTGAACGAGAATGGCGAGACTTTTGTCGATGACCTTACTGCGGGAGATGTCTGGTTCTTCCCACCGTAAGTCCCAAAAACCACGAGAGTCCAAAGCCCATACATTGACCAATTTATTTCTAGAGGAATCCCTCATTCAATCCAAGCATTGGACGATGGGGTCGAGTTCCTCCTTGTCTTTGACGATGGTGGCTTCAATGAAGACAATACCTTCCTCGCCACCGAGGTCTTCCTTCATAGTCCCGTACGTACCTGAAAGTCTAACTATTGGTTGAATCAACAACTGACAGCCCTTACAGAAGGAAGTCCTGGCCAAAAACCTCGGAGTTTCAATCGCTGATTTTGAAGATATTCCTGATGATGAGCTCTATATTTTCAAGGGTACACCAGCACCTAAAGATATTGAGGAGCAAAACGTGACTACATCTTCCGGGGTTGTCCCTCGAACCAAAAGCTATTCGTACCACTTTTCTGAACAAGAACCTCATGAGGTTGCCGGAGGCTCCGTTAAGATTGTGGACCCATCAACCTTCCCCCTCGCCAGCAACTTCTCCGCGGCCGTCGTTACTGTTCACCCTGGAGGTATGCGTGAGATCCATTGGCACCCGTCCAGCGACGAATGGACCTTTTTCATTAAAGGACAGGGTCGGGCAACCATCTTCACTGCCCCAGAAGCCGCGAATACCTTTGACTTCATGGCAGGTGATGTTGGGTACTTCCCCCAGTCAAATAGTCACTATATTGAGAACACTGGTCAGGAGGATCTGGTATTCCTTGAAGTTTTGCAGGCGTCGGAATTCACAGGTATGGTTGATTTAACTCCCTTGGTGGGGCAAATTTGCTAAATATTTCCTAGATGTTGCTCTCGGCCAATGGATTGCATCCACTCCCAAGCAGATCATCTCCGACACTTTGAAGTTGAGTGACAGCACATTGAGCAAGTTGAAGACTGAAAAGCAATATGTTGTTGCTGGCTCGACTAGTGACGAATGAGAGGTTCTGAGCCGATGGCTGAACCATTCTGTATCTCCAATCGCAGATCGCATCATTTGTGCATATCTTCATGCTTTAATATCAAGGTGGCAACAGAAAATAGTACTTCGTTCGAAATAAACATCCGTTAGTGTAGCGACATTGACCTGGCAATTCAATCTTTGTCTTGAGATAACAATGTTGATACTAGTAGTAAGACATGAGTTTTTTTGATGTAAATATCGCTTTCAAATTATATAAAAAATTGAAGAGAGAAGGTACTGTCACCCATGGATATAATAAACAAATAAAATCGATCAAGTACAAAAGGCACCACCCTGGCCCTTGGCCCCACAGTAGCTTTCTTCAAAGTCTCATCTCAAACTTTATACGGAGGAGGGAGATCTTCCGAGAGATCGGAATCCTCGCTCTCAGCGCTCTCGGCTGAATCGATTCGATCCAAATCGTGAACTGGTAGCGGGCCCTTTGATTTAGAATCGAGCTCCGGTATAGCAGTGATGTTTGAAGATGGCCCGGCATCACGACTCGACTGTAGACGGCAAACGTTAGCACCACTTAGAGAAATGACATATAAACAGGTAATACCCACAGTCAGACGTGGATCATCTTTTCGAATCGCGACGGGTTCTTTATCTCCAACCTTCCCGATAAGCTGACCCCTTTTCCACACTCCATATTTAAGAACCATGCCCTCGAAAGAGGACCGAGAAATTATACAATCCTCCACATCACAATTCTTGACTTTAGCCCTTCTGAGTTGACTGTGCGAGATGGTTGATCCCGTCACAGTACTAGTCGTGATGGTACTCGCATCTCGGACCGTGGAAGTTTTGATGGTACTTCGATGTGCGGAACTCTTTTCAAGAAGCGTACTTTCTGTCACCTCACTGCGCTTAACCGAAGTCACGCTGTGGAAGTGAGACTTCTTCCCTGTTGCGCGAGATGCTGAGCCCACCTGCACCAAGACGCAGTCGTCAAAGGTGCTACGCTTCACGTAGGAGCTAGTAACGGCACAGTTGCGCAGATTGCTGCGCGTGATAGTATTATCATCGTTGGTTGTGATATTGCCACCATATTGGGCTGCCTGTTGAAAGTTGTTATCCATCTTTATCTGTTCGCCTCTGAGAGCAGTTGCCGTTGTTCAAAGTCTGCGCTTGATCAATGCTGAAAGTTGAAGTCAGAGGAATGCGGACAGGATATATGGGCCGGTGGGGCTGAGAATACGAGAAGCTTGCCAAGGTGGAACTCGGCTGCCTGGACTCTCGAGGTGTCAGCACCAGCTCGGCAGGACTGGTTGTCGTTATATCCGACGAGGTTAATTTGCACGACCCATGCCGGTCATGACGAAGGGAATGGTTAAATAGAGGGGAATATGAGTGGTTACTGATATGCACGGAGGTGGTGCAGGGAGGCGGGGAGAAGTGGATGGTGTCGTCTGCAGCACTGATGCCTGAGGCCTCAACGCTATTTTTTGTTCTCTCGAGCATTTTACGATTAATTTCCTAACAACAAATTCTCCATTCTATAATGACGCCCGGGAGATCGCATCTGGAAGGGATGCATTTCAAGTCCCATTATATTATATACCATAGCATCAGGAGCGGGTTGTAGATAAAAGAATACTATCAAATTCAGGCTTCATGGGAACAATCTAGCGTCGCATCTGCTACTACAGTGGTGTTGCAAAAGTTTGAAACCCCTTGATTACCGCCTGATCCCTCTCTTCCGAAGGGAACAAGTAGGTACCTGACATGGCATAGAGTGTCTAATCTATTCCATGATCTTGGGGACTAGTAGCTATTAGTTTGCCATTAAAAGGCGTTTGCAAACTTTTGCAATGCCACGGTAGTTGGCTCGTAATATCGGGACATTCGAAACATCTCAAGATAGTATCATGATTGGTCTAGTGCACATTCTGAATCTGTAGGGTTTCGAAAAACTTATGGGTGTATGTTGAAGCTTTTAGTAACAAGTTTTACGGGATATATCAATATTCTAACTCTACTAGCAGTACACACTAACTATATAACCTTGAAAGATTCTTCTGCCAGGTATCGCACAAAGAACACACGCTAAGTAAACATATTTGTACATCTCATCAGTTACATAAATTCGTTTATATCCTCAATGGGTCATGACTCGAGCTCATGAGTTAATCGAGGACTTGCGCCGTGGCAAGTTCTGCAGCATCTGTTTTAGCTGCTTCAGAGGTGTGGGCTTCGTCAAAAATTCGTTTACGCCGCTGATCGCCGCCTCCTGCTGCGTCTCAGCGGATAGGAACGCAGTCAAAATAATAATGATGCTCGGATCCAATTTGCCCATCTTCTCGAAATGGCGCATTTCGCGAGTTGCTGAAAGCCCGTCCATGATGGGCATCGATATGTCTAGGCAAAAGTTAGGAGAAAGCGGTAGAGATAAGTCTTGCTTAACATACCCATGATAACTGCATCAAATCTCTTAGCCTTGTACTTGTTCAATGCTTCGAGGCCATTGACGGCGGTTTCATAAGGTAGTTTCGCGTTCTTGACGCATGCCTCGATGATCTGAACATACTTTGTTAGCCCTATTCAAAATCGTCATATGGTCCATGCGTACCTTCAGATTCACTGGGTTATCTTCGACGAGAAGTACAATTGGTCTATCATCTGGGAGTGCGCCAGAATCATCCCCGTTGCGGGCCTTATCCATTTCTGGGTCCGTCGAACCCAAGTTGTTGAGGCTCATTCCAGAGATTTGTTGAATCTCGTGACTCTCAACAAGCGGTGGGGATATAGAATCTTCATCAAACTCAATCCCTTCATTGTCGAGGCAATAACTGAAGACCTTCTCTAAGGTTTTGGGGCTCACTCTGATGTAGATATAATGTTAGCCTCATAGAATAAATCACGTAATGCCTCGTCGTCACTTACGGCTGTGAGAGGAAAATCGCCCGATCTTGTGAATTCTCCTTCACCACTTTCCAGTTACCTGTATGGCCACTCAACACTATCAACGGGTATGCGTGCTTGGGTTCTATTGACTGTCGGATGTCAGAGTTCTCAGGACTATGAGCGAAAGTCCGATATTCATGTTCAGTGACAATCAGGAAATCGGGGCGCTTTTGCCGCAACTCGCTTTGGTCCAGAACTTCCAGATCAAACCAATCTCGCACCATCCGAGTCAAACTAGATCGAATATCACTAAAGACTTGCTGCTTGATGCCAAGATCACTTCTTTCAAAGCTCTTTGTGAAAAATGAAACACTCTTTCCCTTCAGGCGTTTTTGCAGGCCAAGGAACGGACATTTTGATGCGGGAATCGACTCAGGTCCAGAAATGGGAAGAATAACGTCAACCTCCGTTCCTTCGCCTACTTTGCTCCGAATCTTAATTTTTCCATTGAGTGATTTGACAATCTGGTGTACAAGACTCAGACCTACCCCAAGACCTGGTGACTGAGTATCCTCTTGAATGAAGGGAGTGTAGAGATCGTGGAGCAGATAATCCTGCGATATGCCCCGTCCAGAATCAGCAATAGTGATCCGAACAGCCGGTACTGGGTTTTCACCGTGTACGCTAATGGTATCTCGCTTCATGAAGAGACTGACGTAGCCTGCCTCGGTATATTTCAGGGCATTTCCGAACAAATCCATGACTATCCGGCGCCATGCGCCGGCATAGACTGTGAAATGCCAGTTTTCTTGCCACTCGATATCAACTACCGTCAGCAGTCGAGATCGATCGTCTCCATTCTCAGACATTTGGGAAGATTTGCGATCTCGTTTCCGTGATCCGGGTGCATAATTTTCCTCTCTGTCTAAGAACTCGCGTCCGGCGATTAAACCTTCGACAACTTCTTGCACCAGAGAGCTGAGGTTTTGGTCTTGTATGACACCAGGAACTGCTGCTTTTGCTTTCGAGCGGTTTGTTTTCCCTTCCTCTCCGCCACTGCCCCGGGGCTGCGTCAAGGTATTTATTTTGGCGTAGTCCAGCAGGTGATTGAGTGTATCAAGCAAAGTCCGACCACAGCTGTGGACTGTTTCGACAAGCCCCCTTTGGGAGTAAGTGCTGACCGATTCCTGCAGTAGCTCAATGGTACCGAGCACTCCATGCAGTGGAGAGCGTAGCTCATGCGAGATAGACGATATGAAAGCCCCTTTTGCTCGATCGGCAGCTTCCAAATCCATTTTAGACACTTCGGCCATCACGCTGTTGCTAAAAGCAGCCATGTATGTCAGGTCTTTTGGTTCCGATAAAACTCGTCCAGGGTCATTAGTCCAAACCAGGTTCACGGTAAACCATCGACTTCGCTGGAAGTCCCAAACTGGATAGATACCAATACATCTGGCATCTGGCAACGCCCTGTGGAGGTACTTGATGTCCATGGTTTCTTGGCGGATATCCTTTTCTTGAGGGGATCCTTCGGCAACTTTCTTTCCACCAACGAAATAGGCTTGACTCACATCATCCGCCAAGCCTTCATAGCTCACTGCGATAGTTCCATCATCCTCGATGTGGAAAATCTTTCCGCGGGGGTACCTTTCAATGAGATGGCTAATGAAGGCACCCGGCAAAGAAATATAGTGTCGTGCTTGCTGATCAATATCCTCCCTCGAGGCTGATGATGATGTTGAATATCCTAAGACCAAACTCTTAGGCCCGGAATTCTCGGCTCCCATGGATTCCCAGTGGGTTTGCGTCTCATAATCGATCTCGAAATCACGGGGGTCGCTATCGCTTTTCTCATCTGGGGGACCGATCATCTGACGTCGAGCATACACATTTGCATCAAGAAACGTGGCCCCTTCCACATCTAACGCCTGATTCATCAAGCGCGAAGCCCGGTCAAGTATGCGTTGGACGCTAGATGGAGCTAGCTTCTCCTGCAGATGGCTTGTGGTGGGCGAGAGAGGCGGTCGCTGCTTATTTTCCTCCTTCTCCTCTGATCCTCTCAGCTTGCTCTCGTCGCGTTTGAATTCCTGGATAGGAGATCGACTCCTACTGCTTTTTGAGCCTTCATCCACGGTCTGGCTCTTTGTAGAGCTCGTGATTTCTGCAATTCTTCCCCTCCGGCTTTTTCCCTGGCCATTGTACTGATTGTTCGTGTGATCAGGCCGGGATTCTTCCAACACCGGCTTTTCTGGGGTATTAGAGATGACCACTGAGAGCTGAAAGCTTTCTAGCTTTTGATTTATTTCGGCAAGCTGATTGTCGGCCTTGTTCTCGTTCTTGGCATGATCGCGACTGTCAATTCCTTCGGAAAGATCTGATTTCCCTTGAACGAATAACCCAAGTGCTCTGACCATTCTTTCTTCGCGGTCTTCCTCGCGCATAGCTCTCTGCGATATAAGGTGATCCATGACCGTTAGACTGAGCTCCTGTAAGAACTGTGTTTGCTCCTCGGTCATGGCCACTCTTGGCTCATCGTCCAAGACAGCAATGCTCCCGATCACATAGTCGTCGGGTGACATTATGGGGACGGAGACATAAAAACGATTATGAGGCGGGCCCGTAACCGATGCATCGAACTGAAATCGGGAATCTTGGGTAAGGTTGGGGACAACAAAAGATTCCTCTCCGTTCTTTGCAAACGTGTGCATCGCCATATTGCACATTGGTATACTTTCTCGCGGGAGCTGCTGAACGCCACGCCAAAGACTCTTGTCATCATCCTTGGCGCCACGAAGACTAAGTCGAGGAGTTGCTTCGGCCACAACATGCTGAGTAGTCCGATCGAAAAGCGAAATTAGGGCTCTTTTCGCATTCAAGCGTAAGCTTGCCAATTGAGCGAATACTGTCAGAACATTGTCGCGCGATGCATTTGGCCCATTGCCGGATGATTCTTGAGCAAACTTTTCTGATGTCGAGTAGCCCCAGTACGGGAGGTACCTTTTGCAATTGGTGAGTCACAGTAACAATCAAAAGACAAGACTAGGGAATCACACAAGTGCATTTCTCGTTCTCGAGCGGCGTCGACATTATGAGCATATTTGCGTGGGCCATCAGGGCCTCTAGTCATGCTAGGTCTCATGAACTTGGAATTTGGAGATTTTGGGGGAAATAATTGGAGGTTCGTAGTTTCGTTGCCAATCAGTGTCGTTTCGATTGTAGAAATCATCCCTGTTGAGTGACAATAATCAGCCCACCGAAAGTGGTGATGTTTGGTTTAAAGCTGAACGACAGCCATGGCGTCATAGTTTACACCGTTCAGATGAACTGGGGCACTTTTAGTTTCGGGTAGTCATTTTAGCGCGTGGACCGAGTGCCAGGGACGATTATGACCCGATCAGCCGGTTTGCTGCTCAGTTCAGTTTCTTCCCCAGACTTCCATCCCTGACGTCACGATCCACATTCCTCAAAGTGAATCGTCTTCGGTGTGCCAAAGGTGCAAAGGTGCAAAGATGCGAAAGAAAAGCTATGACAACCTTGGAAAGCAGTTGCTGGTCCGGACGTGTCGAATGCAAGACCTCGGTCGCGGCCAAGACAGACCTCATCTGCCGATCCATTTCCTTTCCCAGACGCGTAGGATTAGAAACGCGACTTGGGATGACCATATATCTCGCGAGTCATTCCATACATAGAGGATCCACCCCACAGTAGAGAAGCGTTGGTGTTAACAGTGTTGGTTAAAACCTTGGAATAACATGACCCAGCCCCATCTCTTCCACCATCTGGCTATTCTACACTGGCATGCATCATCCGGGATTCCCCGACCACGCACCAAGATTGAAATCCATATTTCCACCAAGCATCCCCTTCGTTCCCCCACTATTGAATGGTCAAAGAGAAATGGAAGAAGCTTCAGGTGTAAGAAGTATTAATATTTTCAACCTCATTTTTGGAAAACAACTTGAATTGCAACGGGTTATCGAAGAAACTGACGAGGTGAAGATAATACCTTGACCGACAATGGAGCAGAAAAAAAATATAAGCCCTGGAGATAATTAGAAATTTTCGATTGGATCTTTTTTTTGTTTTCACTCCTTTCCAAATGAAACACTCGGCGGTTAGTGCCGACCAGAGGCTACAGTGGCGTTGCAAAAGTTCGAAACCCCATGTTGCCCACCACTATCGACCGCTTTCTAATGGGAGACTGTAGCTACTTTTTTCCCTTTGGGAATGAATCCTTTTTCTTTCAAACTCGAAGCGTAGCCACTAAGCTTTCATGCATAACCTTGGCTACAAGCGCATTTCTCAAAATTCTGATCTCCAGCTTGAGCCAAGAGAAAGATGCTGACTTCGCATCTTGATAAAAAAATACCCAATAGGAAGCTACAATTGTCCCAACGTGGTTTCCCACGCCGTCGGAAAATTTCAGCGGATTTCGCGCGCTCGATACATCAACTCCGTTAGTTTCCCGCTCTTGATCCCTAGACGTATTGCACATAACCTTGCAGATCGAACGTTTCAGACCCTTGGAAATTCTCCTAACATTGCGTTAAATCTTAAATTTTCAACATCAAAATTGATAGGTAGTTCAAAATGATTCTTATTACATAAATATATAAAGTTAAAGGGCTGTGCTCCCTGAAGAATATAGACCTGCTAGTGGGTCATCCATGAGCGGAGAGAATTATCTCTCTTCCACCTGGAGTACTAGATACTGTTCGCTAGACCAGCAACTTTACTTCTTGAGAGCGGCGCAACCAAGAGCCACGGTACCACCCTGTAATCAGTTAGTCAGAATAGCTTGCTTAAATACTGGCTCGGTTTAGAAATCACGTACCAAAAGGTTAGCCTCAGTGCAGCACTGGGGTTCGGTGGTGCAGACGGAAGCCTCGTAGGGGTCGCCTGATACCGCATTAGCTATCGATATAGTGATCGTTGGTGATTCATGAATACTTACAAAGCAGACCAATGGAACCAACGATGTTGGCGGCATCAATGCCTAGGTCCTCCAGGATGGGATCCACGATGTGATCCAAGGGAGTGGTGAGGGGTACCACAGCAAAGCAGTGGGCCAACACACTCCGAAGTCTCAGACTCGTTCTCGTGTTTGCTGCCGGCCAGAGCAGCAGCGGCGTCATGAACCTTAGTCTCTGTGGAATCACCGCGGCGCATCACGTTGGAAGAGAGAGATCCTTCCATGGGAGTGGCGGCAACCACGCCGGCACCGACGAGGGAGAGGACAGAGATCATGGAGAAACGCATCTTGATGTATGAGGATGACTTGGAGTCGAAATAGAGGTTTAAAGTTGGAAGTTTCTTTGGATGATGAGATTGAGAGTGAATCAAGCGTGATCTGATACCCTGAATGCGCGAGATGTTGTCCCCTTCTTATACCCTTCGCAAAGGCCCCTGTACTTCATAGCCGAGCTTCTCAATTACTCCTATCCTCCATTTTGAATAGTAACCATGTACATACATAGGACGCCTTATCAGTCACCTTGGTGTCTTGGGTCGTCATAGTGTGAACTATAGACCAGGAGTTTCTATGACAAGAGTCAATCCCAGCGGACAAAGGATTGGCAAAAGTATAGATAGAACATTGTCCACTCGGAGAAGCACCATGAGGAGTATGTGGATCAAATGAAATTGAGAGAACGCAGGAACAATAGTGCCGCGCGGTGGCAGAGCCAGGACTTCACCCATAGATCAAATCCGTGATCGACAACCGAGGCCGGCGATGCCTGTGCTTGCCCTAAGCGACCTCCTCTTGGCCGTCGATCACTACCGGTCCAAGCGCGATCTTGGGGCAATTATGTTCGAGCATAAACTAAGAACTCCTGTCGGAACCAATAGTTAGCGGGGCTTGCATTTCCATTGTTGTTCCTGGTGGTTGGATCGAAGGGTGTTCTTATCAGTGGAGCCGCATTCCGGGGGGCCGAATCCTGGTTTAGCGAGTCAAGTTGGTATCCAGTTGGCCGTGCTAATGCCAAGAGGCTGATCCACTGCAAGGAACAGGGAGATTCCGGCGAACGAGCTTGTTGAGGTGCTCACAATTGATAAGGTGGTCAAAAGCAAATCTGCACTGTCACGTCTTCATATCCACCTTGGGACCAAAATTGATGTATCCAGGAATTTGTCATGGGCGCGTAGTGCGGGAGGAAGATGGAGGCGGAGTCGGAGTCACGTCCATCCGAGCAGCTGGTGATAAGCTTCCTTTCGTTGATTGCAGGAAAGAAGTCGCTCCCGTACCGAGTACAGCGAACATTGAACAAGGAATCCCCGGGTCCAGAATTATGGTTCATTTAGATCGACACTAGTGAATCTGTCGGGAGGCATTGGCAGTCTGTAGCCGAGTTCATTAATTGCGGTGGCTGCATCTATACGTACTGGGGAGCCTCCAGAAAGAGAGATTTGAAAATTGAATCAATTCACCCAGTCCAAATAGACACCTTCTCAATCACCAATCATGCCAATCATCCTGTATTTCATATACCTCAGAATCTACGAATATCCTGAAGTATACTCGACCTGGGGCAAGATATTCACGTGATCTCACGTGACTGTGGCTTGACCCGTGAATTACTGTGGCTGGTGACTCCCGTGCTTGTTGTGGCTGTGGGTGTGGCGGTGCCTCGCGACACAAAAACTTCCCGCAAATCCTCCCCCCACCAAGGCAAACCTCCTCCACCCATCTTCAATCGCTACAAAAATGGCTCCGACTTCGATTGCGGATCTCGTGGCCGCCCTCCCCTCGGAGGAGTCCTGGGGCCCTGCCTCCTCCGCCGATAACATGCTGAACGGCGTCCCCTATGCCCCCTTCTCCAAGGGAGACAAGTTGGGCCGTATGGCCGACTGGACTGCTGAGTCTAAGGACCGTGAGCGCCAGGGTCGTCAGCAGTACAACCGCAACTTCAGAGGTATGTTTTGTTCTCCTCTCTTTTTATTTTTTATGTTTTATTTTGTCTTGCTTTGGTTTTGGCCAATTTTCATTTTCTGTGATGGCTGGATGATCGACTTTGAGAACCCACACTGACTATTTTTCTTTCGTCAATAAAGACCAGCAGGTTTACGGTGCCGGCTCCGGCAGTCTGTTCACCGTTGCCACTGCCGAGGACGAGTCCTCCTTCTCCGTCGTTGACAACACCCGTTCCTCGACCAAGCGTACCTTCGGCCGTGGCGGTGGTACCGTTTTCCGTGGCCGTGGTGGCCAGCGTGGTGGTATGGGCCAGCGTGGTGGCCGTGGCGGTGCTTTCCAGCGTGCCGGTGGTGGTCGTGGCAATGACCGCTTCTACGACAACCGTGGTGGCCGTGGTGGTCGCGGTGGCCGTCGTTTCGGCTGGAAGGACTACGACAAGCCCCAGCGCACTCGTGAGCCTTCGGTCAACATCCGCCCTGAGTGGCAGATGCTGGAGGAGGTGGACTTCACCCGTCTGTCCAAGCTGAACCTCGATGCCCCCGAGGGCGAGGACCTCGAGACCTACGGTTTCCTCCACTACTACGATCGCTCTTACGACAAGCCTCCTGTCAAGAACGCCGAGCGCAGAATCCAGGCCCTCGACCGTGCCGCTTACAATGTGACCACCTCCCAGGATCCCATCATCCACCAGCTGGCCGAGAAGAACGCCGCTACCGTCTTCGCTACCTCCGACATCCTCTCCATGCTCATGTGCGCCACCCGCTCCGTCTACTCCTGGGACATTGTCATCGTCCACCATGGCGACAAGATCTACCTTGACAAGCGCAACGGCGCCTCCTCGACCTGGTCACCGTCAACGAGAACGCCTACGACGCCCCTCTCGAGGTCTCCGAGACCTCCGCCAAGCACGACCAGATCAACACCCCCTCCGCCCTGGCCATGGAGGCCACCTTCATCAACCACAACTTCGCCCTGCAGACCGTCACCGAGAACGACCAGGCCAAGATCTCCTTCGCCCAACCCAACCCCTTCTACAACGAGGCCGAGGAGACCGAGCCCCTCGCCTCCAAGGGCTACAAGTACCGCAAGTTCAACCTCGGTCTCGAGCGCGACGAGGAGCCCCTCCAGATGGTCGTCCGTACCGAAGTCGACGCCGTCATGAAGAACCCCACCGGCGGCGCAGACCAACAACTCATCGTCAAGGCCCTGAACGAGTTCGACACCAAGGCCCCCGGCTCCGGCAACGCTCTGGACTGGCGCTCCAAGCTCGTCTCCCAGCGCGGTGCTGTCCTCGCCACCGAGATGAAGAACAACTCTTGCAAGCTCGCCCGCTGGACCACCCAGGCTATCCTGGCCCAGGCCGATGGCATGAAGCTCGGATTCGTGTCTCGCGCCAACCCCCGCTCCGCTGCTGGCCACGTCGTTCTCGGCGTCGTCGGCTACAAGCCTAAGGAGTTCGCTACCCAGATGAACCTGAACCTGGGTAACGGATGGGGTATTGTTCGCACGATCGTTGACCGTATTCGTGAGCTTGATGCCGATGAGCCTGCTGAGTCGGTTAAGAAGTACGTCCTCATCAAGGATCCTAACAAGTCTGTTCTCCGTCTGTACAGCGTTCCTCCTACTACCTTTGACGAGGATGATGAGGCCGAGATTGAGCAGGAGGAGAAGGCTGAGGAGTCTGAGGAGTAGAGAGAGATATCCATTCGATAATGTGCCTTTTCTGTCTGGACTAGATCCGAGTCCTATATTACTATTTCTTTCCTTTCTTCTCCTTGGATGTGCATATGTTGAAAAGTTTGATAACGACGATCTGTTACGATTGTGCTTGAATTCAATGTTTCCACGTCAAATTGTCCAGTCCAGTAGATGTGTTCCAGCCCGTACTACTACTATCAATACCTAGTAATACTACTAGGTAGCAGTGAGCAGTGACTAACCAGTGTATCATTATGAAGTACCCTAGAGTCTGCCATGCAAAATGGCCAAGTCATCACTACCTGAAATTGTTCGACATGGATACAGTAATCTAAAGCAAGATCAAAGGGATCCTATATAACTATTGAATTCTCATGCAGACCAAACAGATAAGAAATCTCAATGAGAACCAGATTTGACCTTGCTTCAATCCAATAAACCTAGGGACTCGGAAAGAAACAAGTGATGGAATAGAAGCAGATTGGTCTCGTGCGGTACACACTGGTACGCGCAGTACCCATCTGACTGTTTTCAAATATATACATCTCCAAAGCAGGATAAGAGAAGAGGAAAGGAATCAAGGAGACAAAGATGAAGAGTAGTGACACAGAAAAGAAGAGAAGAAAAGGTAAAAGTAGTATCATAAGAAAAGCCATCCAAAGGATGGAAGGTGGTGGGGGTGGAGATAAAATGAATATAGGAAAGAGAATCAGAAAATTTCTCAAAGAGAAAAGAAGAGTTCAAGTTGTTTGAAGAGAGATATCAAGAAAAGAAGAAAAAGGTCGGGCCCTCGGCCTTCCAACCATAGAAACCGAATCTCAACGGTTTAAGCTAGAATAATACACACAGCAAGAACACGCCAAAAGCAAAGGGTCTTTCCAGACATGAAATTTCGTAATCGTTTCTTAGTTTTCGCAAAGCTCGCTTTTTGATTGGGGTCTCCAGGGAATCTGGAGGAATCAGTCAAATCAAGAGTAAATCGCATCGTCGCGTTGGCGAATCATGCTCAGATCAACATTGGTGCCCAGAACACTGCTCAAGCAATCGATCAGCTCGAAATCCTCGACGACGGCACCGAAGCCGTAGCAGCGGACTTTAGTATTGAGTGTTTCGATGATGACCTTGATGTCATCGCGGCTGAGGGATGGGTAGAGCTCGTGGTTCTTCAGGCACTGTAGAGCCATAATGGGAGTGATTTGACCATCGGTGACGAGCTGGCGACTCAAGTTGAGGAGCGTGCCGAGGTTTGCGAGCGGTAGATCTGGTGCTTTATGGGGATATGGTTGTTCGGGTGTTGTGTTTGTTATATAGCTGGGCGGTGGGCAGGTAGCCATCAAGGCGTGCCCTGAGAAGGGCATATCCTCATCGTCGGCCTCGGTGATGGAGCGACGACAGAGATAGTCGGTGTGTTCACGGCAAGGACCTTCCAGACTATTTGTGGGTTAGCAGTGTGCAGATGGAGGTGGAAGGGGACAACGGGAACGGGACGCTCGGGGACTGGGGAAGAAGGATGTGGCGTACGTTAGAATAAAGTCAATCTGGAGCTGTGGGTCACTCTCAAAGGCGCCGCCCATCGCAGGGACCGGAGGAGCTGCTTGGCAAGCGGACCGATCCATCGCACCCATACTGTCGCTGGCACCAGCGTGGTAGATCTGTTGTGGGGGCGCAAAAGCCATCGCGGGCGAGATATCGGGGTGCTCCAGACCAACACTCCCACTACCAGCGGTAGGACTCAAACCAGGAGAAATGGAGGTTGCCGGGGTGGTGTGTTGGTGGCTGATCGAATTTGCGAGGCCGGCAGATTGCGAACCTGCGCTGCTGGCGGCGACGGGGCTGGACTGGAATGGGACAGGAGGGCGTTCCGCCCGACGCTGCTCGAGCTCGGGCTCGTAGTGGATGCCATGCGCGATGAGGATCTCCTTGAGGATATCATTCTCGGTGCGGACGGACTGCAGGACCTCCTTGTGTTGTTGCAGTTGAACATTTGCGTCGGAAATCTCCGTTGTGTAGGCCTCTCGTAAACGCGACACTTCCGTCTCCAGGGCTCGCATATATTGTTCCTTTCGTTCGCGATGGGTTCTGCGTCACGTTAGACGACGTGTGGGGTTTGAAAAGGACGACAGAATAGTGCATACCGCTGAGCCTGGCGGTTGAGCTCCTGTCGACGAGTCAAGGCCGGCTTGCTATCAGGTTTGGGACCGCGACGTTTCGGAGCCTGGGCATCTGGGGAGAAGTCAATATGTGTGCGGGTGCATATCTAGGGGAATCGGGAGTGAAATTCACCTCGCGGGCCTTTTTTCACAGCAGCCGCAGGGGGGGTTATTGTTACCACCACCGAAGAGCTTGAAGAATTCGCCGCCAAAACCGGCTCTTGTTGGGGTGGAGGGTTGTTCTGCGATCGATCGCACCGAGCTCCCGTCGGGCGGGATGGCCCGGCGCAAGGAAGTCAGCATGGACGCCATGAGGTTGGGTATATTATGCGGAGAGGAGAGAAGAAAGGCAGAGGAAAGTCAAAAGTCAATAATCAGTAGTGAAGCGCAGGTTATCGAGTAGACTGTAGGCAGTTGACAGTAGCAGTAGCAGTAGCAGCTTGATACCCAGACGAACACCCCCAGACCAGACCAGACCAGACCAGACCATGACCATAAGAAATGCTAGACTCACCAGGCAGATGTTGCATCTGGTCCATGGGATACACCCCACCGTTAGCCATGATGCCAGTGAGTAGGGAGTGTGTGGAGTGGAAGAGAGGAGTACAGTAGAGTAAAGGGAAGAAAAGAGAAGAAAGTCGGGGCAAGCACAACCGTTGAGAAGTGGATGTGATCGATCGGTCTTGGCATGACCTGCTACTACCACCGTCGATACTACGAAGTACCTCTTGTCGATACTCTACCCTGTCGAATCTACTCTGTCGATACTCTGTCGACTGTCGACTGTCGAGGACCCCTGTCGACTAGTCCGCTAGCTCTGACAAATACATGGAGATCCTCGTCCATGTCTCTGCCCCGAGCAGCGCCGCGGATGATGTGCGATACCGTGCCCAGATCGCCGCCATCATGGCTCTTCAGCCAGTCTCCGCTGCTGCTACTCCTGCTACTTCTCTTGCTTCTCTCTCCGGGACACCCGCTCGCCCCGGTTCCCCTGCAGCTGCAGATCCCCGACCTCAATCTCCCTCTCCCTCTGGCTTTCCCTCCTCTCGCCCGGGCCAGGAAACTGGCCCAGGCACTGGTCCAGCCTCCGATCTCCAGCGGGTCTCCAGTCCTGTTCGCTTGGACACCATCGGGCCCGAGGCGCTGGCCCCGGCGCCTTTAGTTCGTCCGCAGCAAGAAACAGCGTCCACTTCCAATTACCTTCCCACATCCAGTTACAATTCCCAAGAAAGTCTAGTCAGCGTCATTCTAGACTCACAACCATCGGAACAACCTCCAAATCCTTCATGGCCTGAAGACGATCCTCGTGCCCCGACTCCACCCCACCCCCCTACCTACCGGCACTCGGCGCAAGCTAAAGCTAGCCTGGTCCCTGCACTACAATCAGGCCTGGCTAGCCCTGGGCCACCCCCCAAACGCCGCCGTCTCGAAGCCGAGGCCGAGAGAGAGGCAGCCGCCCCCAACATCACAACCACGGCTCATGAGGCATCGCTCCTCCACTCTCTCCCTATCAAAATCACTCCCCCACCGCCCCCAATCTCCACCTCTCCCTTCATCACCCACATCACTCCAACCCTGTCCATGCTCACTCAGCGACTCAAGCCGGAAAGAATATACAAACCTCTCCGACAAACTAGAGATCTGGATAAACTAGAACGGGGGTACTGGGCTCTCCGAATTCCCATTCACACAGCACCAAACCAAGACTCAAACCTAGCCCAGTCTTCTGCTGCTGCTGCTGCTGCTGCTACTTCACCCAACCCAACCCAAAAGCCCTGGGACATCCCCTCCTTCTACCGCTTCTGGTCCTTCCTATCAGACTTCATCGGAAAAGACGCCCGAGCTGGCTGGGGCGTATGGTGTATCGTCGAGCAAATCAATAAAGCAGATCCCACTGCTAGTTCCGATACTAAAGAACAATCACAATCGCAATCACACTCACTACCCTCAACTGCATCAACTGATATAGACAATCCCTCTCCCCCTCCTCCTTCCAAACACACAGGTACACAAGCTGCCACTTCCACTACCACCCCCAAAGACACTCCCATCCCTGGACCTGAATCTCTATCCCTCTCGCTAAAATTGTATGCATGGGGCGAAGTCGCAATGCATGTCTATCTCCTGCTGTTCCTAGCGAGTGAGCGGAGGGTTAAAGGGATGGGCGCTGAGTGGCGCGATTCTGGGGAGAAGGTTGTCATCAGTATGCCGTGATGTGATGATCGGATCGGATCGGATCAAAGGTGATCTGTCCTAATTTGGTTCAATATGCATATATTTATTTTTTCGATGTACGATGTACGATGTACGATGATGTTAATGACAATATTACTATGACTGAACAATGAGAATGAGAACTTTGGAATGAGAGTTCTTGAATGTAAATTTCCCTGTCTCCAGGGCTGGTTCTACTAGTATACACCCCGACAACTCGAACTTGAACTTGCAATTATTGCTCCCAGGAGCACCTACTAGTACTAGTAGACATTCCAGTACCACACGTGCTACACTGACGGTACTTTTACTCCTAGTCCGAGTCCCCTTCCCCTCTGTCGTGTTTCATTCTACCGAGAACAGATGAAACACAAACACCCTACGAACCGGGATGAAACGATGACCAGTTTGCAACTCAATTCACGATCGAATGATATTGTACATCGAAACGAACTTTCGAACTTTCAAATAGAAAGGGTCCAGGTCCAGATTCAGGTCCGGGAGTTTTTGAGACCAGATGAAAAGAGATAGGAAATGAAAAGAAAGTAGACGAAAAGGAAACAAGAAGTAGTAAAATGGCCCAGGCTGGGTCAGCCCAGGCTACACCTGGAGCATGGTAAAATCAGAGGTGTGAAAAGAAAATGGGAAAAGAAAAATAAAAGAACGGAGTACTGCAAATGTGGTCCCGAACTCGAGGGAGAAGTAAGATCTCGATAATTCGAAGAGAAAATAAAAAAAAATGAAAAGGTGAGGAAAAGAAAAAAAAAAAAGAAAAGAAGTTCAAAAAAAGAAAGGCGTGCCGTGCGCAGTAAAGTAAGTTTCCCGTTCATCCGATCCATTGCGCCACACACCAGTTAGAAGAGAACAGAGCAGAACAAACAGCCAGAATAGACAGAATAGAATTGAGCAAGGCGAAGAAGCAGACATCATCGACCTAAGCCGAGTCCAGTCAAGTCAAGTCGCTATGTCCATGTGAGTGAGCCCAGGATAACAGAAGACTAGTGCTAATAGTTCAGCTCTCCACTACCGGACCCACCCACCGCATCGAGATCCTCATAGCTCTTGATACTCCGCCCCTGGACCGCTTCACGCGGCGGCATAGGCTGCTGCGCACCACCTGCACCCATTGCATCGGGGAACGGGTTATTGCCGACCATTCCGGCGGCAGGATGACCCGAGGGAGGGTAACGGCCCGCGCCGTGCATGTTAGACATGCGGACAGGGCTGAGTCGACCGCTTCCGTTGGGCCGCCGGCGGTCGTACGGTCCAGGTCGAGGATGGTGGCGGATATTTCCTCCGCGGCGCATGGCACCAGGATGGTGGAGACCAGGACCGTCGCTGGAAACCATCCCATTGCCCCAGGGACCTCCGTTCCTGGACATCATGGGCATGCCCGTGCCCCGAACTGCGAATCCGCCGGGTACGTCTGGGTTGTAGGTATATGCCATCATTCCATGTCCGTGTGACGGGCCGCCTGGGCCGAACGGGTTGTCCTCGTTCTTCTTGGGGTCAGGGTGGGGTATCACGAGACGCGATGGGTCTGTAGCGAATCTCTTTACAAGTGCCATCTGGAAAAAAGGGTTAGTGGGTGCCATGAACAATTGTTGAATATTCGAAAAAGAAAACTCACCTCACTAGTGATATTCGCCCGGAATGCTTGGTGGCCCGGGTTCTTGGGCGGTTGGCCTTCGGCTCCACGTCCGGTGGTGTGATTGAGCCAGAAACGCTCGGCCGCGAATTTCTTTGAGCAATTTGGCAGTTTGCAGTCGAAACGAAGTTGCTTTCCCTCATCGGTGCTCACAGTGCGCTTCAGAACGTGGTTGGCCAATAATTCGTCAACAGTGGCCTCTTCGTCATCCATGCAGTTGAATTTGCGCAAGTCGACGGATTGCGGGTCCAAAATCAGACCCAGTCTATCTTCGAACCTCTTTACATGCTTGAAAGCAGTTTGCAGCTGCTTCTCGTTCTTCGAAACGGGTCGCTGGTTTCGTCTTTCTTGCGGCGACGACTCTCCATCCTCCGGCAGCTCCTCGTCTTCGGCAGGGAAGTCTGTGCCGTTGACACTAGCATCAGCGACATCCTCAGCGCGCTTAGAAAGAGTGCCGCGTGGTCGACGAAGGTGACCTTGGCACTTTTGGGTAAGTCCATGAACCGAGTCACTCTCATACACACAGTAAAAGCAGAAGTTGTGGACTCGTCGCAGGTACTCCACCATCAAGTCCAAGTTCTTCTTTTGCACCAAAAGCTCCATATCGTCGACATCATTGTTTTGGTGCGCTTCCTTCTCTTCACCCTCCTCTAATTCCCCGTCCTCGGCATCCTCGTCGAATCCATTATCCTGCTTGATGCTGACTGGGCCAGTGACAGGAGGCTGCAGCCAGCCCTTTCTCTTCAAGTCCTCAATGCGTTCTTCGATCTTGGTAGCTGCGCTGGCGTCATAACCCAACACTTCGGTCAATTCAGCATCCAGCTTTTCAATCAAACTCTTCGCAAGGCTCAGGTCGGCTTCGATTCTTTTCGGGGCGGAGTACAAGTCCCAAAGTGTTTTCTTGGCAAGGGGAGGTGGGTTATGAACTCCCATGTGGCAGGTGAAGTCACCATGCACCGGATCATGGATCTTCTTCTCATTCACAGCTTCGAGAGCTTTCTCGGCCGTGTTGGTGACGGAATTGCCATTGCCAGTGTGGTCCTGGTCAATTTCAAAGTTCTCGCCCTCCTCGTCGCGGCCATCACCACGCTCCACGACATTCATCGTATCTGCCGCGGGGTGCAGCATGACCCATCCCATGCGGTGGAATTTCTTCTTTGGCCTGGGATCGGCAAGACTGAGCCATTTGAAGCCACCATCACCCTCTCCAAGATGCTCCTTGCAAAACTCCTCGATCTTATCGCGGCTGATATTTGGAGCCAATGTCTTGATGAGCAGGGTTGGTTGAGAAAGGGTCTCGTCGCGCAGATCCGCTCCACGAGCTGGGACTAGATCTTGACCACCTTGGGTTTCACCAGCAGTGGTAGTCTCGCCCTCCTCCTTCTCAATGACACCACCGGCGCCGTCGTGCTCGCTCTTGTGGATTCCTTCCAAAGAGAACTCATCAAATACACCTTCGTTCAAATCACGCTCCCATTGCTCAAAGCCTCCCTTCCGGAAAGCGAGGAGGCGGCTGCGGATGGGGTTCCGCAGCTCATCGTTGTAGCGTTCCTTGAACCATTCGTCGTCCCGGTGCTTCCGAACAAGAGTTCGCGTGAACTTGATGAGATAGTCCTTGTAATCCTTCTCAAGTTCAGCCTCTTCCTTCTCTCGGTCCTCCAAGGCCTCACGCTCCCCTTTGATGCCATTGGTAATTCGGTTTGCCTCTCGATCCTGTCGCCACCACAGGCGATATTCTTTGAGTTCTAGCTCGAATTCGACGGAGAGCGGATCGGGGTATACAATCGGCGGTGAGCGGTTGCGATTCCCGGGGTGTATGTGTCTCTGGATGAGAAGGGCGAACGTCGGCGTTCTCGGGGGCGTCCTTCGCGAGGACCATAGCTGTCTCTCGGACGGCGATCCGAAGGTTCATAGCGATCGATTCTGGCGGGAGACCGCGAGCGACCATGGCGACGGCGACGATCTTGGGGGGCTGGGGGAGGAGTCAGCATTGAAGAGTTTCAGCAACGGGGAAATAAAATTGTGTCCTACAAGGAGATCGGCGTCGAAATTCCCCGGACGCTCGTCCGAGATACGAATCTCCATCTCGGGGTCGTCCCGGAGACATGTGGTCGTCGAATGAATCCATCTCGGCGGAGGGATTCCTGATGATTGGTGATAAGCAGTTCACGGCTTCTGCCGCAACCGAAAATGCTCAGAAGCCCCTAGAAGGGTAGCTGGATGGTGTTATGAGCCAGCAAGGTAAGGTCGTGTGCTGGATAAGCCGACGGAGGTCTGGTGAACAGTGTGAAAGAGCTAAGATGTTCCATCGTCAATGTCAGATCGAGCAAATCGGAAGAAAAGCGGAAGGAGATCGGTGTATTGCAGCTGATGGTTTCAAGAAGGACAGAAGAGACAATGTGATCGGGGATTGGATATAAACAAGATGAAGTGGCCGTCGGTACGGCAGCTCCCGAATGGAGGAAGCATGTCTTGACCGGATCAGGCGAGTGTGGGGAGATTAAGAAGATGGAAAGAAGGGCATGGCATCTCGAGCATGCGCTAGAGAATAGTAGAAGAAAAGGAATTGCGCGAGCTCACGAAAGCGCGAGGCCAAAGCGGCGCAGTTGCGGTCTTCGGGGCAGCAGGCAGAAAGATGAAGCGGGGAAAACAGATGATCGGATAAAGGGGGGGAGCCACGAAAGGGAGGAATGGGAAAGGGTAAAAAAAAGGAAAGGCAACCTACAAGAAGCCTTAAAAGAAGCGATTGAGGCAGTGACAAGCTCTCAAGAAGGGAAGATGGAGATGGAGATGGAGATGCGAAGGGGAGCGACAAGCTGACTGGGGCGGAGGTGATATGCTAGTCCGGATGGGGTTAGCGGGTCACCTGACAAGGGAGTATACAACGTGACTCAAAATCAGGTAACTAAAGTTGACAAGAGTAGGTTTAAAAGATCGGAGAATTGAGAATCGAGAGTCGTGAGAGAGGCGGACAATATTGAGGATACTAGTAGGTAGACAGGGGTAATGGTGGACAAGAAGGACATGTCCAAAGGGGGACACGGCGGGCTGGGGGCTTTGTTTCACATCAAATACTCTAGATGACAGGCTGTTCCTGGTCAGTAGGGAAAGTATCTACAAACAGGTTATGGGCAGCTGCAGAAGGAATATAAGCGCAGTCTTACATAGCTGCGATTGCATTCTTTGTCTCGATCTTGACAGACGATGCATATTCAGCATGTATGACAAAAGTACTAGAATATAGGCCTAACCCTAAGTGGGATATCAGAAGACAAGCAAAGAAATAGCTTAGCATAAGAAAAGATACCATTAGTAGGATTCTGATAGAGCGACTCTGATCCGGCTGCAACATTCAGCCGCACTCTCAAACTAAATTCCAATTGCGACTGATACTGCAGGCGTCTCCGAGTAGAACAGAGAAATGGAGGACAGAAAGAACAGGTGCACCTAGGACGTGGGGACTCGCTGGTCCTAAGACTTTAGAAGAGTATTAAAATATACTTTGCAAAACTATGTTCTATTATGTAAAATTGAATTCCCAAATATGACTTCAAAGAAGGCTTGGTGGATTAACCATATATTGGATTGGAACCCCAAGGCTTCGAAGTCTGATTGCCATTCATGAGCAGCGATCGGTGAATTATGAGGTAATCAAGTGATGTACTATCCATAATTTTGCTAGTATCGTATAAAATAGAGACTGATTAATTATCTATGGATGTTCCAAGATTAACAAAAGAAATACCTCTATTTGCTTCTCACTATACCCTTTGTACCTAGTACCCACAGAGTGACTATTTTTCAAGATTCAATTGCGCCAGCTGATCCATACCTACAAACTTAAATAATGCTACTAAGTTATTGTCAAAGAAATCCTCTCTCCTTCGCACAGCCCTGCACTACTAGTACTGCACTTAGTATATCTACTCTACTCCACCATTCCCCAAGGCCCGTGCACACCGGATAATCACCCGCCTCCCCCACATTTCACATTCCACAAAGCACCGCACCGCACTGCACTACACTACACCGCATCACACCAAGCTCACAATGGGCGACCTCCTCAGCTCGCGCTGGGCCCCCAGCGCGAGCAACCCCAGATCATCCAACAATTACACCCTCCGCCGGCCACGCTCCGAAAACCCAATTCGCAACCACACCCACACCCCAGCCTCACCCTCAACCTTCTCCTCACCATCCCGCAAACCAAGTCCCCGTCCAACACCACAGCACCAGCACCACCAGCTCCACCAGCTGCCCCCCTCACGAAGAACTATCCCGCTTCATGAAAATCGTCTCCCGTCTACGCTGGAAACTCCCCTTCTTAGCCGAAGCATACAGACTAGCAACAATGACCGCACCAGAGAACTATGGCGCAGACTCGAATCCAAATCCAAATCTAAGCGCAGAAATCGCACACGCCCAAATCATGTTCAAAATCGATTTCCACGAATACTACGCCCTCCTCGAACGGGCTATTGTCCATTTACTCGCAATTTTCAATATCAGCGTTTCATCGCGTCGACCTGCTCCTTCCCCTGCTCAAAGCCTACACACGACTACCTTCGCCAACGGCACCGGCACCGGCACCGGCACAGGAACACACCGCTACCACGCAAACGTCCTCCAAGCCCTAGAAGAAGAAACAACACCCCTGACACCGGTCCTAGGATCCGGAAAGACAATCGCGTTACTACGGCAAGCGAAACAGTTACGCAATCGGTGGAAGACGGCTGATATGACTGCTGAAGAGAAAGGGCGGGATCCCCAGTCTGATCGGGATCGGAGTCGGGATGAGGTACTTCCGCTGTCGAGTTACAACTTTGAAGAAATTATTATGGGGATTTTTGCTGGGCTTGAGGAGGGGTTTGCCCGGGCTCAGGCACATGTTGAGCTTTGTCGACGGCCTGAGGAGGAGGAGGGGGCTGGGGCTGGGGCTGGGGCTGGGGGAGGTTCGGAGGCGGATTGGGAGTTTATGGTTGATGCTATGGATTGGGAGGCTGTTTAGTACCATACCAACTACGGAGTACATCTGTATTAACTAAGACGGTAGATGGTCTTGTCTGCGGCTTGCATAAGATGGTGTTTGGGATGGGGGTTCGGTTTAGATTTCGCATGGGTCAGCGCTGGTTTCGCGGCCTTTCTTTGTTTGCTGGACATATGTCTTTTTTTCCACCGTGGCTGTATCTACAAAGCAAACGAATTTTCTTTCATGGGGTGGGGGTATTATGGGGACTAGGTTGTACTTTTGTACATATTACTTGGTTCTGAATGGTCATGCTTGACGCCTTGGCTCAGATCAGATCGGGCCAGGTCAGTCAGGTACCAGAGTCAAAAGGATATCGGACCAATGATTATCTCATGTCATATTCTAATCTACAGAATACATGCTACATAATTTACTACCTTAGTACTAGCAGTTTAGTTTATTTTAGTTTCCATTGGCAGTATGGGCACCGGGACTATCCCTTCCTCCACCCTTTGAGTAGGTACTACAGTCTGGCAACATACCAGTAGGTAAGAAACTGCAATATAGAACAATGTCTTCATTCAAATGGTATAAGCATGACAAATTGGTCCCATATCCATCCATCAAAAAACGAAAAAAAAAGAAACACATAAAACACAAACAGAAAATCATCTCATCCAGATTCATAAAAGATCAAATAAATCTGTTTTTCCAATGAAGGATACCCTCTCTCTAAATTCCCAGCCTAGCCCAGCCCAGTCCAGTCCAGCCCGGAACACAACAGAAAAGCCATACAGACCCAGAACCAGAAGACACCGAGAAAGTCGCATAAGTGGAGAGAAAGAACAGAAAGGGGACGGGGGATAATCATGAATAAGTCAATTCCGGAGAAGTCATTCGCGATAGGAGACAATTGGGTAATAATAAACATAAGTGCGAGCTGCAATCAAAGTCAAGACAGTCAAGCGTGCGTACTGTCGATCATATACACAGGGTGAGGAGAACGCTGAGCGAGATTAATTCTCAAGGTTCCAGTTGGTTACCATGTTTTCTCTTCTCTGCTTTTCATAATTTGCCCATCCACAATCACAGCCGCGGTCAGGCCAGTCACAACTAGTAACTGGAAAGAATATGACGATCATGGCGATGCGGTGCGGATGGTGGAAATGAAAGCTCGCGATATTCCAGTGTCAGTCATTCTGATAGGAGAGGAGAGAAGAGAAGAAAAGAGGTCTCGAAGACCCATGGACCATGGAAGAAAGGGAGGAAATCTCAACCAGCGACCCCTCGCGGAAATACTTAGGGCGAGAAATTGCTTTGCTTCCCAGCGTAGAGTTATAAACAAACAAGTCAGGAGGAAGGAGGTTGAAGATTCAAGGTTGAAAAGAGTCAATGTGAGGTTGGAGAGGGTAAGTAGAGCACATTGAGTTGAAGGTAGAGAGTAGAAGAGAAAAGGGGTTGTGGGTTATCGCTCGCTCGAGAAGAAAAAAAGAAACCATAATCAAAGTTAAGACAAAAAGGACACAACAAGGGGAGACAAATAACAAAAACACAGTCCAGAAAGCGTCCATCCATAAAGCCGTCGTCACAACAAAAGGAAAATACATAGGAAAAATGATATATCATCAACGAGAATCATGTACACCCAACCCTATGTACAGGGTTAAAGTATATTTCATGAGCCAAGCCAGCAGTTCCGAGGAAGAGGCACTTAGCCATCCTCATCCGATGGGTCGGCAGATTCTTGCTCGCTTCCATCGGCGCTGGCAAGCGTCTTGGTCTTCTTGGGGTTGACGTTCTCATCGTTGACTTCACTTGATTTGCGCTTCTGCGCGGATCCGTTCTCGCCCTTCAGTATATCTTCCAACCCATCACCTCCACCTTCAGCCGCCTTCTTCTCCATCGCGGCAACCTCGTCAGCAGTCAGGAAGCGGCCACCAGGGCCACGGGGTCGACGCATGGCGTGGTTATGTCGTGATTCGTGCAGGTATGGCTTGCGGCCCTTGGATGTCAGACGCAGTTGTTCTTCAAGCTTCTGTCGCGCAACACGGCGCTTGAGAATGCGATGGAACTGCTTCGCGTTGACGTATAGTGGTGACTCTTCCTGGTTGGTGCTGGCCACCATCTCCGGAGATGGGTGACCCTGGGCCATGGCCTGGGGAGGACCTCCGGGGGGAGCCACGGAGGCACGGCTAATGTGGTTCAGGACGGGTTGGGCACTTTGTACATTGGGGCTACCACCGACATGGCTCATTCGACGCTGGGCCATCTGCGTATTTGGCGCCATCGGAACACCGCTACCCATGGGTGGCATCTGTCCCGGCATCTGCGGCGGCGATCGAGGGTTGCGGTCCTGCTTCATCGGGACACCAGGGGCCATTCGAGGAGATCCTCGCTGCCCCTGAGCCATTTGACCCGCCATGGAATCCTGGTGCATAGGATAGAACTGACCCGAGGCAGCGGCGGTGGCCATGGCGGCAGCCTGGGTAGGCGAGATACCATACCCTTGGGGCATGGCGGCGGGGACACCATATCCCTGGGGGGAAATTCATCTGTTGATGAACGCCGCCGGGCGCATTCTGCTGTTGCTGGTAGTGCTGTTGGGATGGAATGATAGGAGAAGTCTGGTGAGCGGGATGTGTCTGTTGCATCTGAGGCGGAGCGTTGGTTGGCGACGCCATGGACCCGACGGGAGGTCCAGCATTCGGGGGACCAGCTTGGTAAGGACCGGGCAAGTGTGAGGGAGCATGCGGATGTTGGCCATGAGGCTGTTGATATTGCGGCGGGTACTCCATGATGGGCTGTAGTAACGGGGTTGTTTCCGTTGCACAGTCGCGCGGTACCGAAACAAGGATGGATTCGGGGCCGGGGGGACGATCTACTTTACCCCGAAATCACCAATCAGATGAAATGAGACGTTGAGCGACGCGACGGATTGGTGCGCCGTTGGCGAAGGAGAGACAAGAAGCTCGAAGAGCGCGAGCTTTTGTTTGGTAGAAGAGCCGGGACTATATCACGGCGCGTGCAGGCGGGGCGGGAATCACCACACTCGTCAACTGAGATGATTCGACGTGGGGACACGACGGTCTGCAGCCTGTCGGGCGATCGCGTCAGCAAGAGTCTGGCGCTGCAGCAGCGGACGGTCACTGGGTTTTGGCACAGTGGGGACCAAAGGAAATCACGGCGCGTACCTTAACGGAACCAAACAAATGGACAAAGGGGGTTGAGGGTGTGAGGGCAACGGCTTCGAGGCTTCGTAGCTTCCCGCACGATCTTGAACGGAGGGATTAGCGGTTTTGAGCAAACCGATACCAGGACCACGGGTGTAACGTGGTTGGGCTGTGATGCAGCCGGGGGGTCGAAGTGGCCCCTCTGGATATGATGCGTTGTCCGTCTACCACCCCGCGGAGGGCTGGAGGGCTGGGAACTATTTCAGGCGCTGCGACCGCAGTTCCGAGGTTTGATCTTCTTTCAACCTCGCTGGGCGCAAAGAGCACACACAGTCAAGGGTTGAGGCAATGCGAATCTGGGCTAGCGGGAGTGCTAAACAATGCGACTCCAATGTCAGAGCGCCGTCACTGTGAGTGTCAGTATGCATTCGGTATGAACTGGGAGTGGTGCTATGTTGTGTTGTCAAGTTGGGACCAAACTTGGTCTTCTTTGTCTATTTTCCTCTCTTTTCTTTTTTTTTTTTTTTCTGTAATTTTTCTTTCATTTTTTGGGGGGGAACCCGGGCATACCCAGGATAACACCGGAGTGGGTTAGGCCGCGACGGGCAGAGAGGCAATGGGCAGTGGGAGTGGCAGTGGCAGTGGCCGCGGCCGTGGCAGCGGGTAGAATGGGATGTATGCGTTGGCACGGGAATTTGGAGGGTGCAGTGAACTTACCAGGATGATCGGCTCTGCAGACAGATCGAACTGGACAAGGCGACAAGGGCCGAGCGAATTGATTGGCGTGAAACTAGCAGCTGTTAGAATGCGATGCGATGCGACGAAAGGCGATGATGTCAAGCTCAATGCCAGGGACGCGTGCAAGGCGAAGCGATCGGGTAGAAACACGAAACAAAAGACAGTAAAGGCAAGCTCGAGTCAAGGCGCGCGCATAGAAGATTCGCGTTCAGCCAATGACAGAGGGATAGGAAGGGGAGGAGGGGGTAAGGAAGATGCGGCGCATGCGACCGTGGGTGGTGGGAGATGTGGGTGGTGGAGGAGGCGCGTTGTTATGCTGTTGGTGGGCGCGCGCAACGTGGGATTGGAGCAAGCTGGGACTTACCTGGAGACCAAGGTGGGGGAGATGGTAGGAAATGGCAAATGGGAAGGGAGAAGAACGTGGATATGGATATTCTCCGGGTCAAACGATCAAGGGATCGAAGGGCGAAGATGATTGGGGAGAAGAGATGGGAAGTGCAGGTGGAGGTGAAGTCAGTGCTAGGCGGTGTGATGTGGGCAGTAGCAGGCAGTAGGCAGAGTAGGCAGAGTAGGCAGAGTAGGCAGTAGTAAGGTACAGTAGAGGGAAGGTAGAGATAATGAATAGTATAGTAAAGCAGTATAGTAAAGCAGTAACAGTAAAGTAGCAAAGCAGTGCAGTATAGTATAGATAGTATGCTAGTACTCACGATTGGTTGGTGCAACTGGACCAGATGCGAAGGAAGGCTCTGTGCGATGGTTGGAGGGCGAGCTGGAGAGGGCGACCAACGAGAAGAGGCAGAGGGAGAAAGGCGAAAAGGGGGCGATGGGGCATTTTGTACATTCACGTTGACTGGTGAGTTATTCGGGTTACCGTGGGCTTACATTGGGGATACCATGTGGTTACCAGTAGGTTACTGGTTTGACCAGAGGGGAAACCTTTCATTGGCTTATTGGGGGCAGTGTACCCACTAGAGTGTGTATCTATGACCATACCATACGGCTGACCGCTCCGGGCTTCCGGGTCATGTGCACCAAAAGGGGAGACTCCGCCGAGTCAGCTACGTAGACTATCTCAGCTGTACTCAGTACTCGTACTCAGCTACTGTGGTCACCGTAGGTCCAAGTTCCCGAGTACCTACACTACGGTGAGTACACAGTACTCACCCCATTCGGCCCCATCTGGCCCCCCATTCCATCATTGCCATCTGGACTGCCCCAGGGTGCCGCAGGGTGCTACGATGATATCACACCAACGCTATCCCATGGATTCCCGTCACTATCACTATCACTATATCGAAGGATGACCAGTGTGAATGCTACTCGTATGAATATCCCTGGCTCTATATATCTACTCTGTATCCAGCTGGGGCGGGGAACTTCCGAGTACGAGGCCGCCTGCGTGGTGTGGGACTGGCAGCAAAGGTCCTTACTATATGCAGTCTATCAGTCCCATGTCACTACCATACTGGACAAGGATATCATTCCAAGGTTGCCAATATAAATGTTAATGTAATGAACAAATACTAGTACTAGAAGTTCTCAATATCATCTAGATTACTAGTATCATCTCCCCACGTGCCAACCCAACCTTAGCCGCAGCCATTCAGCGTGTGACCCGCCCGATCGTGACCCACGTGTGAAGCTTGTCAACCATCCCAGTGTACGGAGTATTCAGTTCAAGTTGAATAGAGATAACTACGAGTAGTAGACCATCAGTTAGTATCTAGACTAGTACTACCAGTGGGCAGTTCTATCAAGAACTATCTAGTACTCGTACCAGTACTAGCTACTAGTATGCGCTGCCACTGGCACTGGCACTGGAGTGACTCGGCAGTCCGATATATATGTATCCGAGTCAGCTGATCTTCTAATATTTGAGTAGACTCAAGTTCAACTCCAAGTTCCAAGGTCAATATGCTATTATTAGTAGTACTAGTAGCCTAGAGCATACCTAGAATTCGAGACTCCGATTCATTACGATCATATAATCCCACCTCCAATTGAGCCATTCTGAGTCTACTGTTCCATGGACTACCCCAGGCCCCAGGTTGGCGCATTCCGCACTCCTCAGGCTCAAAAATACCTCGATCTGCATAGTGCATCAGCCTCGAAAATTCATTCTATATAGCTCTTCCAAGCATCCCTGGATCCTCTATAATACTGGTAGTATGGATCCTTGCATACAATACCCTAGGCATCCAGTGCACCAGAGCTGGAGTCCGCAAAGGCGGTGTTTACCTCAGCAAGGGGCCTCAGGTGCCAGTGGCTTTTCCGCATGAACAGGACGACATCTCGACAATCGCATTTACTCCTTTGTCTCTCGTCTCTCCGTTTGCGCGGCTTGCATTCGACTGTCAAAGAGGTCCCTCCCTCTCTGTCCCGAGGGACTTACCCATCCCACTCCGCCACCCCCCGACGCGAAAATCCCATACATGACGTCTTTGTTGACATCCACGGTTCACTCCCTCCTCCCCACAAACCACTCGTCGACTTTCCCCGGCCATTCGACCACGTCCCACACCCCCGTGCAATTACGCCGTATCTACGAGCCCAAACGCGCTCGCGCTCGCGCTCCTGGCGGAGTCCGCGCACCGCTGTGACACCCCCGTCACCGCTTGTGTCCATCCTCACTCCCCTCACTTGCGGAGTTGAGTCCCATACTACGACCGCTTGACCTGTGCTTTACACCCAGTGCATGGGGTAGTGGACAAGATGGCTCCAGGCGGCGGAGGTAATATTAAGGTGGTGGTCCGAGTACGACCTTTCAATAGCAGAGGTGAGTTTGCGCGGAAATTGAGGCCTTCTCCCCCGAGTGCCCTCCGCTCCACCCCTGGCAGGGGCAGATGAAGTCATTGGAAGCTGACACCCTCCCTCTCTCACGGCGATTAGAAATCGAAAGAGGTGCAAAATGTATCGTCAAAATGAAAGGCGCCCAGACGGTGCTCACCGCACCGCCTGGCGCGCAGGATGTCTCCTCAAGGAAAGGCGGCAAGGGCGAATCCGGAGCGCCCAAAGTCTTCGCGTTCGATCGATCATACTGGTCCTTCGACAAGAAGGACGGGACGTACGCCGGGCAAGATAATCTCTTCGATGATTTGGGTTCGCCACTCTTGGACAACGCCTTTGGCGGATACAACAATTGTATTTTCGCCTATGGCCAGACTGGTTCGGGAAAGTCGTACTCCATGATGGGATATGGCAAGGAATATGGTGTTATCCCGCGAATCTGTCAGTCGATGTTTCTGCGCATCGGCGACATGATGCAAGCCGATAAACACCTCAATTGCACGATCGAAGTCTCGTACCTGGAAATTTACAACGAACGCGTGCGCGATTTGCTCAACCCGTCCAATAAGGGTAACCTGAAGGTCCGTGAGCATCCTTCCACGGGTCCCTATGTGGAGGATCTGGCCAAGTTGGTGGTGCGCTCCTTTGAGGAGATCGAGAACCTCATGGATGAGGGTAACAAGGCGAGAACGGTTGCTGCGACGAACATGAACGAGACCTCAAGTCGATCGCACGCCGTGTTCACACTGACCCTCTCACAAAAACGTCACGATGCCGAAACTTCACTGGACACTGAGAAGGTATCGAAGATTAGTCTAGTCGATTTGGCGGGTTCGGAGAGAGCAAACTCTACCGGAGCCACGGGTGCTCGTTTGAAAGAAGGTGCTGAAATTAACCGCTCGCTTTCCACGCTTGGTCGTGTCATCGCTGCACTTGCGGATGTCTCATCTGGAAAGCTCAAAAAGGCATCCATGGTTCCATATCGTGATTCCATCTTGACATGGCTGCTCAAAGATTCACTCGGTGGTAACTCGATGACTTCTATGATTGCAGCTATCTCGCCGGCTGATATCAACTTCGACGAAACTCTGAAGTACTCTGCGTTATGCAGATTCTGCCAAGAGGATTAAGAACCACGCCGTTGTGAACGAGGACCCGAACGCTCGCATGATTCGCGAGCTCAAGGAGGAATTGGCACAGCTTCGGTCAAAACTTGGAGGTGGTGTTCCTGGGGCTGCTGGGGGCGCACCTGGTGCCATCGCAGCAGAATCATATCCACCAGATACCCCATTGGAACAGCAAATGGTTTCTATCCACCAGACTGACGGCAGTGTGACCAAAGTCAGCAAAGCTGAGATCGTCGAACAACTCAACCAAAGTGAGAAGCTTTACAAAGATCTCAATCAGACCTGGGAGGAAAAACTGCAGAAAACTGAAGAGATTCACAAAGAGCGTGAAGCGGCGCTCGAGGAACTCGGCATCAATATCACAAAGGGCTTTATCGGATTAAGTACCCCGAAAAAAGATGCCCCATTTGGTCAATCTGAGCGATGACCCTCTGTTGGCAGAGTGTTTGGTTTACAATATCAAGCCCGGAAGCACGACAGTGGGACACATGGATCAAGGCACTAATGTCGACATCCGACTGAACGGCTCCAAGATTCTTCAGCAGCACTGCACTTTCGAAAACGCCGATAACGTCGTGACCATCGTCCCCACTGAGGGTGCTGCTGTCATGGTCAACGGTCTCCGGATAGACAAGCCCTCACGACTCAAGAGTGGTCATCGTATCATTCTCGGTGACTTCCACATCTTCCGTTTCAACCATCCGCAAGAGGCTCGCGCCGAGCGTGTCGAGCAGAGTCTCCTGCGCCATTCCGTGACAACTAGTCAACTGGGCTCCCCGGCGCCTAATAAAACGCACGATCGCAATGTCAGCAAGACTGGATCGGATATCGACGGGGACTCAAGTAGAGCCGACTCCCCGATGCCCGCACGCAGTCGCGAATCTGACTGGTTCATGGCGAGGAAAGAGGCCGTCGGCGCGATGCTTGGCCAAGATCATATCTCACATCTGCCCGACGACGAGCTTGACGCCCTATTCGAAGATGTGCAAAAAGTCCGAGCAGGGCGTCGTGGGCTGCCGGAGAATGAAGAAGATTCAGACTCTCTTAGCTCCTTCCCTATCCGCGACAAGTACATGTCCAATGGAACCATCGACAATTTCTCCCTTGACACGGCGATTACAATGCCAGGCACCCCACGACAAACCGAAGACGATGATGGCTCCAATGGTGTTTCCCTGAAATCGGTTCGGTTGGATATGCAGCGCCAGTTAGATCGCCAGCGGGAGGCGTTCCAGGACAAGCTGAAGAATGCGGAGACTTCTTCCAATCAAGATCCCGGAGAGATCCAGACTGAGAAACAGCGTATGGAGGATGCACTCCGGTCTGCCAAGGAAGAGTTTGAAGAGCAGTTGCGAGCACAAAAGGAGACTTTCGAGACTCAGATGCGAGATATGGGAAAGCCCATCCCACAGATCTTTGAGAATGGCTTTGCCAAGTTGAATGAGCGCGAGCTCGAGATCGCACAGTCCGTCTACTCCCATTGGTCACAGCGTAACTATGTTCGCATGGCCGAGAAAATTCTACAGCATGCATCGCTGCTGAAAGAGGCACAAGTCATGAGTCAGATCATGGACAAGAATGTGGTCTTCCAGTTCGCAGTTGTTGACCACGGTCATAGCATGGCTTCATGTTATGACCTGGTTCTAAATGGCATTTCCGGCGACGAGGATATTGTTCTTGAAGAGACCAAGAAGCCCTGTGTCGGCGTTCGAGTCATCGATTACAAACAGTCTGTGATCCACTTATGGTCTATCGAAAAACTCCAGAGACGCGTACAATCTATGCGACAGCTGCATCAGTACATCGATCGGCCCGACTATATCCAGCACTTCAGGCTTGAAAATCCGTTTTCGGAGTCTTGTTCGCCGCAATACTCTCTCATCGGTGATGCCGACATCCCCCTGACGGCTGTCTTCGAAACCCGTGTGCAGGATTTCTCAATTGAGATCACATCGCCCTACACCCAAAGCGTTGTCGGTATCATTCGATTGTCGCTTGAACCCTCCTCAGCCCAGGCTCCTTCTTCGACTTTGAAGTTCAACGTCGTCATGCGTGACATGGTTGGATTCGCTGAATGGGAAGGATCCGATGTTCACGCTCAACTCTTCGTGCCCGGAATCTCGGAAGAAGGTGGTGCGACGACAACGCAGATGATCAACGGGTTCGAAGAAAGCCCGGTGCGCTTCGAAAGTGTTCACAGTATGAGCCTCCCGTTGTCCAGTCCTAGAACTGCGGCGTTGAAGGTGTGCGTCTATGCTCGTGTGACATCCGTTCATATGGATAAGCTTTTGAGTTGGGATGATATGCACGATTCTTCGGAAATGATCCCTAAGAAGCGCACCTCGCCTCGGATTGCCGAGTCTGAATTCTACTCCGAAGAAAGACACGACGTCTTCGCCCGCATCCAGATTTTGGAATTAGCCGAGTCTGGCGAATATACACCGGTTGAAGTGGTTCAAAATGGGGCTCTTGACGCTGGTACTTCTCAACTTCATCAGGGATTGCAGCGTCGCGTTTCGATCAACCTGACTTATAGTTCCACCGAAAGCCTCCCATGGGACGATATTGCCAACGCGCGCGTGGGCTCTGTTCGTCTCCTCGACCCGTGGGGCAAGATTCCCGACCAGGATCTCCAAACACCAGATGTCCCGCTCAAGTTCCTTCAAGAACCAATGGTTAAAGACAATGCTGATGGCACTTCGAATGTTACAATCATTGGCCAATGGGACTCAAGTTTACACGGCTCTCTCCTTCTTGATCGGGTGACCGCGGACAAATACAAAGTCCAAGTAACCGTCCGCTGGGATCTCGTCTCCTCCCGACTTCAAACCCCCCGTGATATTCGAGATCGACCAAACCATCCAGATCCTCGGCCGCACATATGTCCGCCAACAGTCCATGTTCAAGCAGCTATGGAGCTCCACCAGAGTCGTGCATTCGACAACAAGCATGTACTCACTAGTCATCCGCCCAATCTCAGCCAAGCGCGCCGCCGACCTATGGCGTATGAATACTCAGAATGACTACGTTAAGGGCGAAGAGCTGCTAACAACATGGGCTCCACGGAAAGTCTCCCTCGTCCGAGATTACATCGCTGCCCGTAAACGTCGATATCGCATCGCAGAGCTCCACGCTGCCCGCGGCGCTCTCAGTGCCGGCAGCCTAAGGGCATCTCCAGCCCGAGGCAGCGGCAGATCAACACCCATGCGCGGCCAAGACCTCAACGAGCGCAAGACAAAACTGCTCAAAAAATACCTCGACCTCTGGTCAACAAAGAAAGATCCCACCGAAGCAATCCTCGTCCGAACAAATACCGAACCGCCAAGTGACGGCGCTGACCTAGCAGCCCAACGCAAACAAACCAACGGTACCCCAACTACAACAACGCCTTCTGTCTCCGACAGCATCTCTCTTAAACCCCGCTTCATCGCAACAATCCAAACCCTACCAAAGAACCCCTCAGCCCTAAAAACAGGCTACGTACTCACACCCGATGACACGAATAGCGTCTGGGTCCGACGCTTCGTCGAACTGCGCCGACCCTGATCTGCACATCTACTCCGTACCGGAAGGTGATGAGATCAACGCGATTAACCTGCGCAATGCACGGGTTGACCACGCGCCCGATTTCGCGCGATTGCTTGATGGGTCTGGGGCCGGTAATGATCGGTCATCAAATTCGCTTGCTGCGAAGGGTAGACCGAATATCTTTGCCGTTTATGGGACGCAGAATACGTTTCTTTTTGCGACGAGGACGGAGGCGCACAAGGTTGAGTGGATTCTTAAGATTGATGAGAGCTATTTTAGTAGCAATAGTGGGAGTGCGGTTGCGAGTGGTGATGAGCGGTGATGATGGTGATGATGGATGTTAAGGCAACTTGAAGGCCAATCAATGCCTTCCTTCTCTCTCGATCCTCCTTCATGTTTGACGATATAACGGCCCGGGGGACACGGCGTCCTTCACCCATTACTGTTTTGCGTCGTTTTCTTATGTCTACTATACATTTCTTTTTTTTTCTGATTTCTGACCCCCCTTTACTTTATGATGACCTGTTGAGATACCCCGTCTTTATATATATCAACTGCCTGTGGCGATTTCCCCATGTACATAGTTCGATATCGTTGGGACTATAGATTCGACGGTGTTCATGATTTCAATTACTATTAGTACCGTGGCTTCATGGTACGAGTGGTTTTTTCAACTTCAATTCTTAGAATGGCTCACTTATAATAGTATACGTAGTAGCTATGGATGTACTAGTACTACTCACTTGATTTTTAATAATTCCAATGTTCTGGAAGCCCTGGAGTTCAAGTTCCGAGTCAATTCGTGGATGATCTCATTGAGGCAGCTCGTTGTCGGGGCAACAATCTGTTGTGTCCACCACTCCCACCTGCACCACATGGGATCTACCAACGACTCACCACTTTCAAGGTCGATCCTTCAAGTTCAAGTTAAAAGACACCTGGGCGAAGACCCCGAAGACATCCAACTTGATCCTGCATGGAATAGACATTCCAACCTAACCCTCCGAGTCCCCAACTGCCATTGCGAAAGCGACCATGTTCGCTCAACGCCCTTCATTCCGATTCTTGGCCGTCGGCGCACTCTTCTCGCTCGTCACTCTCACATTCCTCCTCTTAAACACACGCCGATCACGCGATTTGACATCCCAGTACATCCTCAAGACCCCGCGGCCGGTCTCACATTGCCCGCCTTCGTCCTCGACCCAGCCTCTTCCGAACAATACCAATACCCACAACCAGCTTGAAGCTTGGGAATTCCATGTTGGCCGCGATGGAAACGATCACGGTCTTTCAGAGGAGCAGTGCCAAATTGCGTTTCCGAAACTTTTCGGCGAGATTGAGAAATCGGCGGCGGCACGATCGCAAGATCTCATTTCTTATGAGGAGCTGCGAGGGCGAGAGATTGAGGATGGGATGGTGAGGTGCATTATTGATCGGGGCGAGGTATGTATTGTACTAGTACTGCTTATGCTAGAAGGTGATCTGGCAGAACTGCAGTTAGCTAACCTCAACTCCGAAATAGTTATACATCGTCGAATTCGCCCCCCAACCCGTGACAGCATCCCGTGCCCGCGCAACCCTAAACTCCCTCCACCGCGCTCTCAAAGCAGTTCCGAACCGCCACCAGCTCCCCAGCATCGAATTCATCTTCACATCCGAGGACTTCGCAAATGACCCCACCGGCCGCGGACCCGTATGGTCCTACTCAAAACGCGACACAGACTCCTCAGTCTGGCTAATGCCCGACTTTGGCTACTGGGCCTGGCCAGAAGTCCAAGTAGGACCATACCACGAAGTCCGACGACGCATCGCAGCCATTGATGACGGAGAAATCAACCCGGATGATGGCTCTATCATCAGTCCCGGTATCTCCTTCCAGGATAAAAAGAAACAGCTCGTCTGGCGCGGAAGTCTAAATACAAACCCCGGCATCCGGAGTAAACTCCTCAAAGCTTCGTCGGGGAAAAGCTGGGCAAGTGTCCGGGTGATTGACTGGGATGACGAAAATGATATACGATACAATCTCCTCCCAATCGAAGATCACTGTCGATACATGTTCCTCGCGCATACGGAGGGTCGCAGTTTTTCCGGTCGAGGCAAGTATCTACTGAACTGTCGTTCGGTGGTTATTTCGCACCCGCTCATTTGGCGTGAGGCGCATCACGCTGCGCTCGTTTCGTCCGGGCCCGATGCGAATTTCGTCGAGGTGAAGGAGGATTTCTCGGATTTGTCACGCATGATTGATTATCTTATTGATAATCCGAGAATTGCGGAACGGATTGCGGAGAATTCCGTGCGCACCTTTCGTGATCGGTATCTTACTCCTGCTGCGGAATCTTGTTATTGGCGCCAGCTTGTGAGGTCTTATGCTGCTGTTTGTGATTTTGAACCCTTGCTTTTTGATACGACCAGGGATGGGAAGAAGGTTTCTCGTGGTGTGTCGTTTGAGACTTGGATGCTTACGCATTGATTTTCCTTTTGACATGATGTTTGTTTATGTATGCAATGCTATGCTATGCTATGGACCGGGGTACAGACCTGCTGGATGGGTTTGGCGACCACAACGACGCTGCATTTGAGCGAGTTTCTTTACGGCGTTGGGGTAATGGATTGTATTTACAACTGGATTTGACACTGTCTGTACATGAGACTAATCGATGGATTTTTAAAGTTATTTCTTCATCTTCTCTGGGTCTGCGATCGCCCGTTGGGCTCTCCTTTTAGAGCAGATTAAGGTTGTCGGTACGAAGTGCTCTGCGATCGCCGTTCACGCCAGTCTGGAATGACCTTATGATAATTCTTTGTTCAGCAAGGCTTTTCCTCGTCTAACCTCTGCCAAGAATTCTCATCTTAAAAAGGGGGTCCACCTGCTTTGCTAGTCTCGAAGCGTGTTTAGTCTCGGTTCTGATCAAAACTCGGGTCAGTCATATTAAACTTTGCAGTGAAATCCTTCGGACGAGAAAGATGCATATCGGCAATAAAGAATAACTACAGTACTCTGTACGAGTATGGTGTACAATGCATAGAAATCCAAATAATCCCTCGGCTACCTTGTTGAACTAGGAGACTCAAGCGAGATTAAGGGTCCAAGTCCAAGCCCAAGCCCAAGCACAAGCCCAAGTGTGGCGCTGGGACCGCGTGAATACGAGTGAGGCTCTCAGTGGTCTTTCGTCTACTAAACCCAAAAGGGGTTAAATCCCCTGCCTTGCTGCTGCACCACGGTAAAAAAAGTCTGTTATTCTTGGAAATTGGGGTCTGCCTCGCCCCCAATCGCCCCCCCAGGAATGCCTTCCCGCTAAGCTCGTGTTCAGGATCGTATTGTGTGACTTGGCTTGGACGATCTCGGGCGATCTCAACATCGATCTGATGGGCAGACTCTGATGTTCGGTGGAAATTCAAGGGAAAAGTTATCTAACGCGAATTTTTTTGATGTGACAGCTGATCCGAGATATTATAGTGAAATTGGAATTCCCTGGGGACCCTTACAAGGTTGTCATTGCCATGCAGGATGTGATTAAAGATCGACACTACGCCATGTTCACATTTTCTTTCTGGATACGAGATGGACCATGAAAATAGGGGAATCTACAGCCGGGCCAGCACGAAACCCTACTTGCCGGAGACGATGATAGGTCCAGTTTGTTTTAGTTCACAGCTTAAATCAAGCCCTGTCTGCGTACTAGTACTAGTTAGTATCCATCACATTCATGTTTCAATGGGGCGGAGTTCGTTCTCTGCGCTGGCCCCGGCGCTTTAAGAACCGTTTCAGCCCCATAATCCATACCCTAGTCCTTCTTTTCCTTTCCCTTTTCGCCCTTCAGCGGAAAAAAAAAAAAAAACCGCCCCCACGAGGAACATCATATCCTTAATCATGTCGTCTCCAGGCCAGCCTTCGCGCGTCACCAAGTGGTGGCCCATCAGCTTCTTCATCGCCGCCATCGTCTGCTTCATCATTGGCGGTGCTCTGATTGGAGTATGGACTTCCAACTCCATCAATGACTGCTCCTACAGCTCTTACTCGTCCTACTATTATTCCGACTACTCATGTGTTCAGACGGACATGGGCGAGTTCTGGGGTGGCGTCGCTATGTTCGTCATCGGCGGTGTTTGCAAGCTCATTGCTTGGGTTCTTCTCATTATCTTCTGCGTCAAGCGCAGCCGCAACAACCACACCACCGTCACATACGTCAACCACCCTCCCGCCCAGCAGCAGCAATTCCAACAGCCTTATGCTGCTCCCCAACCAGTCTACGCTCCCTCCCAGCAGAGTGCCCAGTTCCCTCACTCCCCCGCCTCCCCCGGCCCTATGTACCCGGAGATGGCCAACCCTTCTCTCGCTGGTACTCCTCCTCCCAAGGAGGCTCATGCCACTGCCACTGCTTTCAAGTACTGCAGCCAGTGCGGAACTGCTATTTCCAGCCGCTTCTGCCCTCAGTGTGGAATCCAGGCCTAGACGTTTACCACTATTTGGTTCAAGTTGTTGTCAACGCTTAGTTTGATATTACGTCGTCGCCGATCAAATGATATGGCGGGTGTTTGAGATTTCGGAGCGATGAGGCTTCTGGTTATATTTGAAAAAGAAGATTCGCATATGAGGAATGAGAGGTCGCTTCGAGGGGTTTCTTGGGATGTCATGTTGGCATCTGTTAATTTTGAGATACACCGGGATGAATCCCACAGACTGCTGCGCTAGCATTATTTATTATTTATTATTATTATCATTTCAATTATTATTTTTTCCATTTTCTTCTACTTTCTTAAGTACATTTTTCTTGGGACGTTCCTGGTTTAGTCCTCCGATTGACCGTATTCATAGTGCCATCGGTCGTTGGTGAATATTCGATATCAATCAGCATAAAGTAGCAAAAGTTCTTGGCTCAAGCTCTAGATCCGAGTGCTGCTATTTGGACCACCCTTTTTACTAATTGGACCACATTCTTGCTACTTGAACCATGATCCTTCTTAATCTAGATTAGTATGTGTTTCTAATACAAATTTAGATATACCTCTGTTATATAGTAGCATAGTAAAAGTTCAAGTTTATAGCCTCTTGTTGGACTATCTTAGTTTTCCAGCTTTGAATAGCAGACTAGTAGCTACTATTCAAATGTAGTCAATGATAGTGGGCAAGAGGGTTGCAAGCTTTAGTTGAGCCACTGTCTATCGAAAATTTGTATAGTGAATACATACTAATCTGAATTCAGAAGGTCCATGGTCCATTTCGCAAAAAGGGTGGTTCAACTAGCAGCACTCCTAGATCCTAGCTTCAACTTTCACAAAGAGCGAAAATATTCTTAGAAATTTCAAGATTTTTGAATTTGAATCAACATAGAAGAGGAGCATTTTCGCTCTAGAAAATGTAGAACAATAACACCTGAAAATATCGAAATACATGACTCCCATAAACGCCAGAAAATGCCAAAAAATGCAACGAATGAAAATACTGAAAGCTCTTGACCAGTATCTCGTCATAGTGTATCCAAATCAATCACAATGCAATAAGCTCCTAGAAACGCATGGCCTCCTGGATTGATTTCAGGTCAATTTCCAGGCGGGCACAAATGTGCAGTGTTGACATCTAACGCACTCCTGACAGCAGATCTACAAGAGTTAGTATTAGGCTCTTCGTAGCTTTCAATCACCAATTAATCAGCGATGGTATTGCGCGATACTCACTTTGAAGAGATTTAATCCATCCCTATGGATCACTTGCAGGAAGCCACCGTTTCTGCAAATCGGAACTTTCATCTCCTTGGTATTCTCGTCGACAGACCTTGGGATCAGTATCCCACCTAACATGGTTTGTTGGTCAGGATCAAGTCGAATCTCGCAGTCAATGCCGTGGAGGAACGCAATGAAAAGGAATGGGGACTGTGCTTGTTTTGTAAGAGAAGCAAGCGCGATTCGGCTAGGGTCTTGCGATGGCGCAATGCTAATCTCGTGAAATGTTCTGTTCTTGCCGAGTTTTGCATGCGAGGTCCATAGCCGTAGACCATTTAGTGACGAAGCTAACCAAGAAGGTGCACAATACAGTATAGTCGTTGACCTCCCCGATGGTAGAGCATTGGAAGGCGAGTTGGAGATAACACAAACGTCGTTTAAAGACCTGCTCTGAAGCCTCAGTAATTCTGTAACAATGTCAGGCCCTAGTCGAGATCTAAGACCTTTGGCTGAGAAATGGCAGTGGCAACAGGGTCCATATTCATGGCGATTAGACGCAGGGCGTGACCGTATGTGGGAACAGATGTTGTCTCTGCGGTGACAAGGGACACTTCCATGTGCACAGTCGTATTCATGGTGGGGGTGATGCTTGTTCATTATATGTCTCATTAAGCCGCTCGTGAAAATGTGTCTGTTTGACATGTCTGGACTGCAGAGGTGGCAATCGAAGAGCTTCGTTCTGTTCCAGGTGTAGCTGATATATGCATGTGAGTCGTCGTTATCGTGGCCACTGTTTGAATGGTGGGCCTGAGACCTCCTATGCCTACCGCTGTCGACGAGGACTTCATGATCATAGCCAAATGTGGTCAGTGGTATCCATTCAGCCGATGTGAGAGACACGAGCGGAGCCACAGTGTTACGAGTCAGAAAGTCGTGTTCCCCTTGCAGCCTGGCGAAGGTCCGCTGAGGCTGTTCATGTAAACTTTTCAAAGCATCCGAAATGTATCTCCACTCCTCCAAAATCCAGTGGTGATTCCTCCTATCATGTATGGGTAGCGAGTTCTCGTAATGGTTCCAAGGGGGTTGAATTGTGGATTCCAGGCACGTGGGAGAGAAGTCTCTAAAGCTCCTTGGACTCATCCCACACTTTGGATTTTGGGTCATTTCGTAGTTTTGTGGAGTGGGATCGAGATCCCAGCGAGGTGAACTCTGGGAAAAGGCCCCTGATATGGAGGCTGAACAGCCGAATGCATGGATCACATCTTCTATACTCAAACCAAAGTGAGAACCGGGATGATTAAGCCCGATCGCCTGTCGCGACTCTCCAAAGTCCTCTGGTTGGGCACATGGGTCGTTTCTGACCTCTTCCAAGTCGATTCTTCTTTTCTTGGTACTCTCAACCGAGTCGGTTACCGGCTCTTGCAGTGATCCCTTCCTAATGCAATGACTTGATGATACATGCCATGTACCACCGAGTAAAGGGTCGCAACCATCATCGGTGAGGCTTAGGCCATCGAGTGAGATGTCTAGAGAGGATGAATCTCCCACAGATCGCCCATCAAGCGAGGTATCTGAAGCCAACGTTTCTTCGACCTGAAAGATGGAAGGTGAGTGCCCAAACCAATATGCATCATTGTGCTGAGCCGTTGACTCGACCAAGGGCTCGTGCGAAACTGAAGAAGGAGCAGGTATTTGTTTGTCATATGTCGAAACTGCCTCAGGATCAGGCAGTCTGGTCATAACATCATCCAAGACATCGGCCGCTTGAACGATGAAAGCGAATTGAGATTCTGTGTCACCGGCGACTAGGTGCCCATATATCTTTCCGGTATTTGCATCTCGAACTATCGAGCCACATACACCAGGTTCAAGCGAGTCTTCAAACTGAGCAGACAGGACTTCAACGAAGTTTGCGGCGTTTGGCAATCGGATGCATGATTTTCGGCCTGAAAGTATGCCTCTGAGGATAATGCCTGAGCCCGTTATGGCTGTCACATTGACAGATCTACCATCGAGCTGGCCAATAGTGTCCTTGGAAAGAACGGGTAGATCTGTCGAAATGCTCTCGTCGTCCATCCCCAGTCTATGAGACAATAGTCGAAGCTATCAGAGCTCAGTCGAGGCGGTCTAGCAAGTGAGAAGGCGTGGTGATTGACTGAAAATAATTTCATGTCATCTGCAGAAGGGCGTGCTTTATCGCTGGCCATCGCAGTACTTGGAGGTTGCTCACGCCGCTCATCAAAGTATTGTGTGGATTCTCCATCAGACATTGTTTCCTCAGAGTCAAGGTCCCACTCTTCTTCTATATCGCTAGACTCAGCACTAGCGCTATGTCGGCTCATGAAATCGGCCTCATCTTGGCCATCTGAAAAGCTTTCGTCGTCACTGTCGAATTCGTCTATATCGCATTCACTATTCTCGGACAAGCTCTTCTCTTCAGACATCACATCTGGAGTAGTTGCATTAAAAACATGTACCGGAACCAGATAGTACTTTTTACCATGAAGTTTGATAACACTTCCAATAGTTGCCATGCAGGGACTTCCGTGGTTTGTCGACTCATTTTGTGTGGCCAGTCGTAATGCCCTGATCTTCCCTGACTTGAGGTCGAGTACAGGGTAGGCCCTGCACCTATACGACTTTGTAACCTCATCATCAAGCTCGACAGCATTGATGAAGATGCTTGACTTCACCTTCGAAGAGGCAAGCGGCCGCACATTTATAAGGTGTGGAGGATAGTCCCAGTCACCGAGAAGCATTCCCGGCGGACACTGATCGAGAATATTCGACTCTTTGATAGCGGCGACAGCGGCCTTTCGTGATTCGCGGTGCCTGCACGAGAACATAATGTAGGGCCTTGATCTAGCTTGGTCTTTACCAATCATAAAGACGTCGACCATAATCATGCTTGAGCTGGGAACCTGAATTCTCGCGCCATTAAGACGGTCAATAATTTGCTGTCTGACTTGTTCAAATGCATCTCTAGCGGGACCTGTGGCATCCCAGCAATGGAGTTTTCCTTTTTTCATACCACGATAGCTATCTATGGATAGCTCGGGCTCAGACCAGCGGACCTGGGGCGTCGAGAAAAGTGACATATTAGGGAAGAGTCGTGATGAGTTCATCGTGAAAATAGGGCTGGAGTAGAGATTTGATCGAATAAGTCCTCACAGAGAAATAAAGGGTTAGGATTATTCGCAAGCAAAGAAAGATTTCTACATAAAGAGCAACGGGAGCTGTTAGTGTTATTTGAGTCGGCGGGTTGGAAGAAGTGGCGAAGAAAAAAGAGGCTAACAAGGTACTTACGAAGCAAGTAATCTGTTGCGTTTTGTTCCAGCTTTCAGCCATAAGCCACAATCATGACCGCGCCTCGCTTTCGTCGGTAGAAATGGATGGAAAGCGCCCATCTGTACGGAGTAAGCCAAATATGCTTTGTGGCTGTGGCGCAACCCGGGCGGACGCAGGAATCCCTGTTTTGATCACATTGGCTGGACAACGATTGGAAGATAAGTATATGTCAGCTTCCCAGGACAGAGATCTAATGCTACTGGGTGTTCTCGAGTATTTTCTCACAATGGGCACTGTAAATTTGCATGCTTTTAGCGATTCTCTTGATGTGACCTTCCTTGAGTCCCCCATTCCGTCAGAACGACAAGAGAAAATTGTCACCCAATTCTGGGGTAGCACTCAAAATTATCAGACCCCTTGTTTTCGTTTATACTTTCAGTATTATACTGAGCAATGCAGAATTGTGTATCAGTCCCATGGTACCAATCTTGCCATTCGCACCCACCGACATATTGCGGAGCTTGCGTCACGTATTCAAGGTGGACTATCACGTTCTGAAGTCTATGAATTTGTTGAACAGTTTCAGTGGACCAGTGTTCCAGCATCAATAGATTCCATCAACGCGTCGATAGATCTGACCGCCCGACTTCTCTATATGCTTGACATTGGCGAATTTCGAAATGGGCATTCGGGAAGAAACCCGCTGCTATGGGTCCAGGGCTCTCTACAAGACTTTGTGCAGGAGAATTTGGCGGAGGCCAACTCCGAACCCGACGATGGGATCAGATTTGAAAAATCATTCAATCTCATTCGCATGGTTGGAATCGCGGGATTCGATGTGGAGCTAACGTCAAATCTATCTGATCATCTTCGCTTCAGAGACTCCGATAAGACTGTTAAAATCTTCCATCATGCCTCATTTCTAGAGGCCCACAAAAGGTACGTTAGGGGCCATGCCGCATTTTATTGTTTTGCTTGCCTTGAGACTATATTGACAATTGTTTTCGCCTAGAACCTCGGCATACCCACCAGGTCTCGTCGACGAGACACTGGCGACGCTGGCCCTCTTCTTCCCAAAGGGTGATAAAGAGACCGAGAGGTGGTACAAAAAACAAGGGAATGCCGACGAGCTTGACAAAAGTATCTTGAGGCGTCCGAAGGTTGACATGGGGATAAAGGAATACCGATACTGGCATGATCGCCTTGTCATTCTCAAGACAGAATTTGACGAGTCCCGCCCATCGACGATCGCACAATGGTGGAACGACAGACGCGATGTTAGTCAGTGGTATCCATTGTGGGTAGCGATCTCCTTGACCGTCTTATTTGGCCTGGTTCAGAGTATCGAGGGCGCGTTGCAAGTATACAAAGCATTCAACCCATAGTTTCCCAGCGATAGATATGAATATTATTGAGGTGTGAATGCCCGGAATCGGGTCCTTCCGCTTCAAAAAGATATATTCAAAGAATTTGAAATTCAAAGAAGGCATCCATGAATTCCCAAGATAAAAATAACTTTTTATTACTACGCTAGTTCCACAACTATCCCCCCGGGAGCTCTAAAATAAAGCCTCCACAACAGTAGTATTTTATATCAATATAGTATTCCTCCTTTACCCTGTAGCATGCAGATGGTATTTATCTTACAACACAGTTTTCAGGCACTGATTGATGGCCTCGGGGTTCAGGCACTAGGTGATGAGTCATCCTGACTACCACTTCGTGGTTCAGGCACTAGGTGATGAGTCATCCTGACTACCACTTCGTGGTTCTATATAGCCTCAGTCTGTTTTGTTCTCCTCCTATCACCACCTTTGGCCTTTCTCGCTCTCGTTCAAGTTCGTGCCCACCGTGCCCCTCGTGTTCGATAATCTCAAATCAAATCTGCCGTTCACATTCTGGATTCTAAGCCGTCCTAGGCTGGTACCTACGGGATCGATAATATCTCTATGGGGCTCCTGCAGTGTGGTGCCTGGTCTGTTGACCCCTGTCGCCAAGTAGACACGTGACACACCACTTGGTCTATCTAACGATCTACGACCGTCAGCAAAGAATCATTTTCTCCTGTATCATGTCTCCGAGATACCCCTGGGATATTCCACCCCCATAATTTTTGGCCAAGGAATTATTTAGGAGTTTGGTTGAACTGCCCGACTTTGAACCATCCCGTCTAGATCATCTGCCATTTCCAATCCGACATGCCAATCGAAAGCAACGGACGAGGAAGGCTGTGTGAACCCTGCCAGAAAATATTCCGCGGCCAGCAGATCCTGAGTGCCGACTCGACAGCATCTGACGACCAGACCTCCCAATTAAACTACCAGGCTCACCATTCCAACTTGCAGTCCTTTCTCAAGGCCTCGGACTCGGGTTGCCCCGTCTGCTATGAGTTCTGGTCTTCAATAGGAGAAACCCGTCTAGAGATATTCTCAGGTTTGTCCACGCCGGAAGGGTTCTCGTACTGGGAATTGGAACGTCGAGAGGGTGGTGGATATGACCTCACCCTTGCGCTTGATGATGAGTACGACGAGCTTATCGAAGACCACTTGGAGTTGGACCTCGAAGTCCTTCCACCGCATAGTATGTTGACCAAGCAAATGTGTTCTAGGCTTGGTAGGCTTACTTATAGCGCTTTCTTAGTCTATGATGGGTCAACGGAGAATAACTCCTGTTTGCAGGTGATAGTACCGCGTCAGACGCAGCATTTGCTTAAGCATTCAAATGGTTTCAAGAATGTCTTTCGATGCATACTGCGTGTAAATCCAGTATTCATTATCTGCCTTCACGGCTCCTGAGTCTCTGTGAGGACGACTTAGAGACTATCAGGCTGGTTTCTACGAAGGTCGAAAGGAAGGGGATAAGTTGCTACGCAACACTGAGCCACTCTTGGGGTGATGCAAACATTCTTACGCTTCAGTGTTCAACGCTTGATACGTTCCAGCAGAGTATCTCGATCGACCTACTCCCCAAAACCTTTGTAGAAGCAATTACCGTCTGCCGCCGGTTCTCAATACCTTATTTGTGGATTGATTCGCTCTGCATCATTCAAGACTCTGTAGCCGACTGGCGAGCCGAAGCCGCGTCGATGGAAGGCGTCTACAGTAACAGTAGGCTCAATTTCATGGCTACCGCTTCTCGAAACAGCCACGAGGGGCTCTTCCGATCACGCGACCCGAGACACCTCGCACTCTGCATCGTGGAATCACAATGGACTGACGCCGTGAACGACTTTTTCAGTATAGTGCAAGACGAGATGTGGCAAATGGAGATGACAAACGCACCTCTAAACCAGCGAGGCTGGGTCCTGCAGGAACGCATTCTACCGCCACGCGCCCTCCACTATGGTCAGTACCAGCTACTCTGGGAATGTAGGGAGTTAGACGCATGCGAGAAGTATCCAACAGGTCTGCCAAAATCCCTCCGCAATATCTTCACGGGAGTTAAGATCACCGATCCAGAGGCCTATCAGAGTTACCACTACGGCTGGTATCCCAGAGAGAGTGACAGTGTTGATAGACGGGAACGTTCGAAGACAGTGATAGACTACGCGTATATGCTATGGAGTCGCTGGATCTCCGCGTACAGCAGCATGCGGTTCACTCGGTACTCGGACCGGCTCATTGCCTTCAGTGGGCTCGCCAGTCGCATGCGGGCCATCCTGCAAGACGACTACCTCGCGGGGTTATGGCGGTCAAGGTTCGTCGACGAACTTCTGTGGGTCACCTTCCATAATGATTCGATTGAGGGCGAGTTCAGGCCTTGTCGGCCGCCCGATGGCGGTGCACCTAGCTGGTCATGGGCATCCGTCACCGGGAAAGTCACCGCTGGCATGGCCGATGAGCTTACCGGCAAGGTATATCATCTGGATCTTAAAGCGGTTAATGTGACGCCGGTTTCTGGGAGAGAAAGAAACGACAACAATGACATGGGCGCTGTATCGGACGAACAGGTTCGGATAAAGGGATTTCTCAAGCGAGGAACTCTACTCAAAAATGTATATGACATGCCAGAAGAAGATTATGAGGCTCCTGCGACGGTGTACGATGTTGAGGTCGACGGGATAAAAAAACCATTTATCGTCTTTGTCGACGAACCCATGATGAACCGGGCCACAATGAAGATTGTCGTCCTCTCTGTGCTTACGAATTTGGATGACTCGGACTCGGACTCGGATCGGAAGAAAGAGCTGCTATATGCATTGCTGCTTCGGAGGCCAGACGGATTGCCTAGAGGGCTCTATGCGAGGGTAGGCTATGCGTCCGGAACAGAAGAGGAGTTCCCTGGCAGTCAGCTGTGTGAGTTTTTTCACCACCAGACTGTTACCTCCATTCAAAGAAATAGAGTAGGCGGTACGGGGTTTCGAAATGCGCTGCGGAAGCTGGTTCTGGCAAAGGACCAAGGGGATCAAGAGACTCATGGCCAAAGCTGGGGGACGAGAAGCTGTATCTTCCTGGTGCCTATGGGGAGTTCATCATCGTTTGAAGGCCGTCTGAATGAAGACCTTACAAGCTCAGACTTTGGTGTAGGCAGCATGGATGCTCGACCAAGATTATGGCAAGTATTGCGTATCTTGAAAGCTTTCTACAACCAAAACTTTCTATTTTGCAATTACATGGGACCCTAAAGAACATGACTTCCCATCCTCTCCGCGGTAATTAGGCCATGACGGCCAATGGGTGGCGGTGGACCCCGATATACGAGAGGGAGCGTCCTGGTTGTAGAGTACCAGTCATTTATTGTACGTGTATGTCTATGTCCATCGAATTCTTGTTAATAATTATTGGCAATAGGAGGATCTCAATATTGGGCAAGTGACGTCATGACATCATGAACAACCGAAACATCTTCACCGACTGGTTGAGACTGACGTTCATTGGAGGATGTTTCGGCAACCAACATGACTCAAGCCGAGCATGTCTGATGTATATGTATGTAGGTACGGTGCAAGTCTTTGCCGATCGGAACGTGATATGCGGGGGATCTCCCAATTCATGAGGTAATCCGGCTTTCGAGACATGATTTCTGATTCAATTCTCGAGTTCCAGTGAGACTTGCCTCTGCGATTTACCAGCAAGTGAGTTCATGCTGCCACTGACGACCATTGATACTAATGCTCCGGTCGGGTGCGCCACACCGCAACTTTGGCGGCCCCTTGCTTGGAACCCGCGACCTGGAACCACGGGGCAATCCAATATTTTGCGGGGAATATTGAAAGCTGGGAACGTTCAAGTGCGGACTATACCGGGTCTAGTGGAAAACTATCGGAGCTTCGTGCAACCCACGAGCCATTAGTCCCCGCGTGCCAACGCACCCTGAATAGTGTACAATAACCATTTGCCCCTGTGTAGCGGGCATACGCCCGCCCTATCAGCGGTCACTTCTCCCGTGTTAGGGCGCCTAATTGGTGAGATGACGGCATTGTACATAGTGCCTGGCATCTTTTCCCAGCCATACGTTGCATGTTGTTGTACAGAGTACCACGGTTGACAGCAATATTCACAAGCGTGTCTCGATGGTGTATCTGATATTTGAAAGAAAAAAAATGAAAAAAAGAAAAAGAAAAGGAAAATTGAAAAGAAAAAAAGAGAAAACTTTCTTTTCCCGGGTTGGGAGTGTCTTTCCGCTCGTCCATCTGAGTCTTGGGAGCGAGGGGTGTCCGCCGAATCGCCCTTACTTTATCTTCAGCTCCCAACTACTGCATATGAATTTTCGTATCTTTGCCTTCACCTCTGTCAATGACTGGCCCCATTATTCTCTGTATGATAGTGAATCTTGTCTAGCATTTTCCAAGAAAAAGCAATGGGCATTGATCGCTTTCACCCGGCATCTTTGGCGAGCTTGGATCCACTAGAATCACAGCCTTGCCGTATCGGGCCTCATTCAGTGATGGGTCTGTCCGATCATTTGCTTCCCCACACCCACAAAGATGTTGTACTGAAACCTTGTTGGAACCAAAAGACTGACTTGCCTTGGACCTATGTATGTACGTAGCTGTTCGCTTGAGGCTGCATACAGCTACATGTCCTTGTGACTTCAGGTATAATCCGGGCATCACTTTCCATGTCCCATGGAAACCGCAGCCTCGGTGTCGATAATCATGAATCTCGGCTGCCACGAGCTTTGCGGCTCCTAAATTTGTCAGCCTAGTACCTAACAAAAATCCTAATAATAGGGTGCTAGCCATATGGAATACCCTAATGCTCAACAGAAGGAAGCACAGCCTTCACTTGGCACGATTCCACTTTTCCCACTGATCTCAGCCGAGCCATCCGTCTCATGCGGCTGATACCTTTGAGGAAAGGTGTCACCCCACCGCCAGGACAATTCTGTTTGGGTAGACCCACCAAGTCCCTTTTTATGCATTCAAGTCTTAAACTTTTTTCCTACTATCAATGCGCCTCCCCGGAAAATCCGCCTTGCTCTTAGAAACTCGAGTTTTTGATCGCCAACAAGACTCGTGATTACTGGACCCACACTTCGACTATCGCATGGTTTAACCAAAATGGTCAACCGTGAGTTGACAAATGGCTTGGCCGCAGAATTTAGCCTCGCAGAATCCACATGCAGCCACATGCGCCTGATAGACCTGTCGTGCCAGGTATGCGCCTGCTGGTCCACAAATGTCGGCTCGGGGAATAAATGTCTCTCTTCCAGGCTAGATTGATCGACCGATGCATGGAGCACTGCTGGCAGTGCTGTTCGATGTCATGCCCAGAAGCTCAACATATAAGACGGGCCACTTCTGTCCTCGCTTGAGATGAATATTCCAAAAAAAAGGAAATAACCATTTCCCCTGGATCTCACAGCCTGGATTTGATAACCACAGAAGAATGTTTCTCACATCCATCTCCCCATCCACATTAGTGGCACTTGTTCTACCACTGCTACCGAGGGCTTTGAGCTCCCCTTTGATGAAGCGGGGTGGCTCCTTTTTAGCTTTGCATACCGACTTTCCTGACCCCAGCTTCGTTAAAACACCAGAAGGCAAATGGTTTGCCCTGGGTACGGAGGGAAATGGCAAGCGTGTTCAAGTCGCCGAGTCTGATGGTTTTCATTCTTGGACCCTTCTGGATATCGAAGGTCTGCCGAAGGTTGCGGCCTGGGAGGAAGATGCCCAGCATTTTGCCCCGGATGTGATAAGACGAGTCAGTTACAACCCTTGAATTTAGACTCGGAGATACCAAAAAATGTTAATACCACTACAGGATGACGGAAAATACATCATGTACTATTCTGCCAACTCGAAGGAAGTCGGCCCAAACCAAGATGACCACCATTGCGTCGGCACTGCTATCTCTGACGACCCCAAGGGACCATATATTCCTAACGACAAGCCACTCGCTTGCGATCTTGATAAGGGCGGTGCAATTGATCCTGCTGGATTCCGCGATGCAGACGGTACTCTATATGTTACCTACAAGGTTAACGGTAACAGTATTGGCCACGGAGGTGACTGCAACAACGGCGTCGACCCTCTCGTTCCCACCCCTCTCGTGCTGCAGAAGCTTGCCAAAGATGGGGTCACTCCTGTTGGCGACCCTGTTCAAATCTTGGATCGTAACACCGCAGATGGCGATGGCCCTCTTGTCGAGGCTCCCAGCCTTGTATTGTCATCTGGCACCTACTATCTATTCTACTCAACACATTGCTTCAACGAGGACACATATGATACCCGCTATGCTACAGCATCTAGCATAAATGGCCCTTACACCAAAAATAACGAGCAATTGTTGAAGACTGGAGATAGCCCTAGGTTGATTTCTCCCGGTGGTGCAACTGTCCATGCGGATGATGGTAACCGCATTCTTTTCCACGGCTGGTGTGATGCCAGCATGAAACAGCGTTGCATGTACGGTGCAAATCTTTCTTTAGATGGGACTAAGGCCTCCATTGTCTGAGCTTGAGCCTACAACGACATTGATTTGATTTCAATTTCCGGAAGAGTTGAGTGACGCGATTGAGCTTTTGTTTTGATACCCTTGTCTGTCTATAATTACCACTCAAATGCATTTATTTATATCTTTACTCCATTGGTTTCATCGAAAAGACTGATCTTGTCCAATTCTCCATATTATTTTGTTCCCTGAATCAGATACGACTATTATTAGTATATTAGAGCCACATGGGCAATCAAAGCCCACTAAAAAGTACTAGCAGTAATAATATTACAAACCCCTCATAAATTTCGCTCATTTTCGAGTCGTCTTCATGCTCCCCATGCATGGATGTTTACATGTAGAGGAATTATAGTATCAAGTACCTCCCAAACGGGTCCGTGGAATTAAAGTTATATAGTCCTGGTTTTCGATCAAGCCGAAATGAGGTCATGGACTACAGACAAATTATTTTTTCATTTAGACGAGCCCGAGAAATATGAAGTGACCAAGGCGCTCATACTTGCTCTGGTCGGAGCTGAGGTCGATAGGCTTTTCGAGGCTACGGAACTTGACTCGCTTGACCAGAAGAAAACTAATAGAAGTAGGAAGAGGAAGATATTTCCGAGGACTGCTACTAAATGTACCGACAGAAAGAATTTGATATCAAGAGTTTTATTATGTATTTGGCTTATAATGAAGAGCTTGTTCTGTGAGCCTGGTAACCAAATCCGAAGTCCCTGGACCAATTGTATTCCATGCACGAACCATTAATGCCAGCCCAAGGTTATAAATTATAAATGATGTCGCTACTCCATTCGCTATGCTAAAATACTATCTTGGGCAGATTTCTTCTCTCTGAGTCCTTGAACCCAGGCATCTGCGCCACCAATAGCAGCCTCGGGGGAATCCTTATGGTTGAGAAGGTATCCTTGTATCTCGGCAGCAGTGAACTCCCCGTTGGGCATGATCGCCGAAAAGTCGGTCGCGAGCTTCGAAATCCGGACACGAAGGTCATGAAGACGACGTTTTTGCTCTTTATCATTCTCCTCTTGCTTCCGTTTCTCTGCATATTCGACTTTACCATTCTCGTGGTTGTGGTTGGCGCTGCCGTTCGTCAGATGCTTGGCCGCCCCATTAGGGAGACGTCGGGAGGCTGCAGCGCGTGGAAGATCGCCTTCCATTGTTGTGTAAATTGATGTAAAAAGCTCCTCAATATCGGCTTGGGTAGTTCTTCCGAAGGCGATGCTTAAGTCAACGCGACCAGGTCGGAGGAGAGCTGCGTCGAGCTTTTCAGGGTGATTGGTTGTCATGACGAGTATGCGACCTTCACTGGCTGCAACTCCGTCAATGACATTCAATAATGCGGATAATGTGATACCTGGAGACTTGTCCTCCTTTTTATCTTTGTCTTTGTCCTTTCCCTCGAGTTCCTCTGCTTCTGTATGGTCGGTACTATCGGTTGGTTTATCTTTATCCTTCGACGAATCCGTTGTTTTCCCTCTAGTATGAGTGACACCGGCGGTGTCAACATCCTCGAGGAGAACGATGCATCGACGGGGAAGATCATGGAAAAGGGACGCTAGGTTATCCTCGTCGAGGGCTTTCGAGTCAAGATTAAGGAGGTAAAGCTTCAAGCTAAGCAAGCCTGCAGCTGCGAAGCAGAGACTGGTTTTTCCTGTACCCGGAGGACCATGCAAGAGATATCCCCGGCGATACGGAATTCCCCGATTTGAGTACCATCGTCGAGTGCGCGGATGAAGATATTCTTTGATATCGGAAATAAATTCATCTTTCTGTGCCTGATCCAGAACAACAGTTGACAGAGGCCGTGGGCAACGCGCCATGCATCGATACCAGCCAAACTGCTGACCAGTATATAGTCTTTGGCCGCGGTAAATAACGGTTCGATTGCCATCGCGCTCTACATATGTCTGTTGCGCCTCGTTGAGCAGGTCCTTGATTATGGCAGGGTTGCGACCAATACAAGATACGTAAAGGGTCTCGTTGTTCATTACCCACAGCGGACTCTGCTGTTGCTGTTGTCGCTCCAGCATCAGCGGCTTGCCTCGATACCAAAAGAAATGGCGGCCCTCTGATGGTGTATATCGCAAGGTTCTATACTTGTCACGGCCGGTGAGCTTGGCCCAGTATTCTTCAAAGGATGGTTCGTTTTCGCCGCAGCCGGGCTCATCCAGCTCAATTCCTTTTTCGTCGTCTTCATCATCAGAGCAATCGTCAGACCAGTAGCCACTTGTTTTAACACCAGCGACAAAGCGGTTTGTTTTCGACATGTTTGGCTGTCGTGACATCCAGTACATGAAGTAATTAAAAGTCTCATCGTCGAAACGTATTTCTGCGGTAGACATGAAATACCTTTCAACTATATCCTTTGCGTACCAAATGAGGTATTGAAAGGAGGCGCCGAACGTAGCCAATAAGATGACATACTGCAAATAGCTGGCGATGTCAATGTTCAGGCGAGAAATCACAAGTTTAGAAATTAGTGAGTACCCCGGACTAGGGCATCGAGGATTGCGGTATCCGTTTGTGAGAATGAATTGGTAGGAGAAGTAGCTGTAGTATTTTCAGCCATGGTTGACTGTTGAGGGTTAATGGATCGTTTCTTTCGAACGGGGCAGTAAGCTGTATTTTATCCTCCGATGTCAGCTAGAGCCTCATCAAACCCCGACCCGACAGGGCACCCGATCAGTTAATAGCGGAGAAAGGTATGACGAGGATCTGCACATGCACGGACAACCTTGTTGCAGAGCAAGCGTGTTGGCGGTGTGGCGTTGGCCAGGCTGTACAGGCTGTGCCGGTTCGTGCAGCTTCTGCCTGATCCTTGACTCACGGACGCAAAGATGCCCCAGGTAGGCGACATGCTCAGCTTATCTGAGCTTAGCTCAGCTAATGGGGCAACGAATCGGAGATCGAAGGAATCACCGTGATGCGTTTTCTTCCAGCTGGTCACGCAGATGTGCGGCTTTTTGTGAGTTGGTTTGAAGACTAGAAACTCGGAGCCTAAAGCCAACTGTGAATTTCAGCCTTTTAGCCCAGGTTAACCCCGCCCAGGCTTAATGAGTCACTTGCCTAAATCGCCCGCACCGTTCATCAAAGTCGCCTTGTGACTGGAGTATCATAAAGTAAGCATTCGACGAGGCGCAATTAACGCGCACTCTGCCAAACATCTAGCTAGGTCCATATTCAATAAGCTCGCAGTTTTCAAACTCCTATTCCATGCATTCATTACCTTAAACACTACGAAGTCTGCCTTGAATTTTGGTGACCCCTTTGCTTACTTCTATCACATCTACTGATATTGTTCGTGACCATTAGCAAACATGCTGTAAACCACCAGTAGCAGATTGACTTTAGGATCTCTTCAAAAGTTCAATCTAGTTCAAACAGAGTGATACCCTGATAAGCATCCCACCACGTGGCACGAAAATACTACTTGGTAAATTGCCCTGAAAGGAGTAGTATTATGATATTGTTGGCCGATGACAACTTATGCATCAAGAATAATTCTGGCAAATATGTGTCTTAAACTACAACCTTTTTATTCACGTGGGTGTTGAATGCCCAGGTGTCATATTCTTTCGAGCTCTTAATGAAGATGATTTGAATAATAACTGAATACGCTATACACCAAAACTAACCTGATCGGTCACATTGCATAAGACTTGACTTTTCTTTCGAATAAGCCTCTGATAATACTAGATTGCAATACCTTATTCTAACATCTTGTAGATCATGCCAGCATAGATTCTGACATAAATAGTAGGATTTTGTGGCTACAAACACTACCGAAGGCTCTAAGCTAATGCATAAAAGACGTCTCAGCCACATGAGGCAATTTATTAATATCCTGAGTCCAAATAAACTCCATGCGGCCTTCCGACAAGGCTTTTGAAACAGGAAGGTCTCCGCATAGCAAATTCCAGCAACTCCATTCATCTTCATTCGTATCAACTTTTTGATTCTAAAGATCTTCCGTCGGCATTATCTGAGTGAGGGCATAAATTTAAGTGACAAAGGCGAGGGTATTGCTTGATTGTAGCGCCAGCATCGGCTTCAAGTATCGGCTTTGAAGATAGTTGCCGAGGTTCTGTTTTGAAGATCTCTCATTTGACTCTGGAATTGGTCCCTTAGTGCTTGCGACTCGACGCGCGCCTTTTTCTTCCCCCACCAGAACCCAAAGCCCAGCATCGAAATCGCCAGTATACCCAAAGGGACCCCAACACCAACTCTGATCGCAACCTTCGACGATGAGCCGCTATCGCCTTTTGAAACCGCACCGGCTGTTGATTCGGTTGAATTTGAGACAGCAATTGAAACTAGTGAGGATTTGAGCCTAATCTCATTTTCGCTTCCACAACAGTCTGTGGTTTTCAAAACGATTGCCCTGAGCCTCCTGGACAGCGCGTCATCACAGCTGTCCAATTCGAAGGTCCGCCTGCCTGTATCAATGCCAAGTCAGAATGCGGTCACATAGCCATCTATTACAAAGTGGGAGAAACTCCGAGGCAGAAATCATCCTCTTGTTGAACGTACATTGTCATCGCAGGTGGTTTTGAGGAGACAGTTTGGAAGGCTATGCGCAGAAGCCCCACATGTCCCTAGAAGCATCTTTGGCCTAGACTTTGATTTTAGACCGAGCTAAGTGAATATCCGAAAGCCTTCTCATTTCCTGAATCGCAGGTAATGCACTAATGCACCCTGGATCATGTACATTACTTCTGTTCTTTAGTATCTATCATAATATTTAACTCTAAGAGATTTAAACTAATTAATCTCTGCTCCTATTCTTAGGTATCTATTACAATATCCGTTTCTAAGAGATTGAAGTGGATGAAACCGTTCTAGAGTTATTTAAGCCACAGAAGAAAGAAGGTCTTTGGAAAAGGAGACCAAGTAAGACAAAGAGCCCAGAGAATGTATGGCAGCCTGCAGCCTGCAGAACTGTCACTTTCCTACCCCGGTTAATATCAATCTCAACCGCAGGGTAAGAATGCTAGCCTGGGGAGCACCGTATGTACTTACAAGTACTGTATTCCTCAACGATTTGTAAGCCCTTTGGAAAACATTTATACTCACTCATATGTACTGAGTATGCTCCGTTATTTTCAATTTTGACCACCTTGAGCACTAATATGAAACTTGTCTTTCTTCTTTCAATGCACATGTGTGAAAATGGGTCTTACTATTTTAACCTAATACCGGATAGTCTAGTCCAAATGGCTCTTCTATTTAGCCCATTCGAGTATGGTAGCTCATCAGAATTCTCCACCCGTACCCAAGCTCACGCGTAATAGCGCCCTTCTTCAGGAGATGTTATTTCCCGTCCAGAAAACGTACAATGATCCACCTCCCCACCAAAAGAGTTCGGGACAACCCCCCACTGCACCGGTCCCAGATGGCAGTCAAATTCATCCGGAGGCGGATGACAAGCAGCACTAATAGCCAGGCTACAATGGCCAGCCGGAGGAATAGCATACTGAATCTCACGACACATCAATACCAAGATAGAAACAGCCATTGCAAGAAGACAGATCAAAAATACAAGCAAGCTCAGCGTCGAGTATCCGCAGGCGCAAATCGACGCATCCTCCCTTAACCCCTGATCTTTATCATAGACTTCAATCCGGACCAGGAATAAAGATTGCGAAAGCAGCCAGTGTAGTAGCCCTGACATCGCAGTTAGTGGTACGGCCCAGCGGTATGGGAGTTGGAGGAAGTAGGCGCTGCGCTGCTCTCCCTTTGGCTGCGTGACGCGGAGGGGTTTGCGCGTCTGGGCGAGGGCATTCCATTCTCGCGCGAAGCACAATGATGTGCAAATTCGGTTTGCGGCTAGGTAGAATACCGATAAGAGGAGCTGCGGGCTGTTTGCTAGCCAGGATGTAAATATTATACCTCGAGCATCAAGTGGTGAGACGGCAAACGGGATGTGTAGCTTTGAGGCGGTGCCCCATGCGCTTGGCCCTTTTGCGCTGAGGGCAACGATTCCGAGAGTGGATATGACGATTAGAAGACCGCTGGGTTAGTTAGATCAAGGTTTCCAAGGATTTCAGCTTCTTTCTTTTAGATCGTGGAAACGCACAGCATCATATAAGAAGTCCACCGTCCTCGAGCCCGGTCTGAATATCTCCCAATCTCGTGTGACCATTTCCCCTCCGTCGCATGTTGAGGATATTGAATACCCTGGATTAAAGCATGTTTCTCCGCTAGACAGCGTCCGACGGTCGCGGTATCGGGTACCTGAAGGAAAGTCGAAATAGCGTCCCCCTGCGTGATGATCTGTGCCGAATACGAGCCTTTCAGTGTAAGGTATATGGCGATAGTTTTTATAGCGTTGCAGATGATAACGACTGCAATGAATGCAATGGAAATCTGCACCGCACTACCCTTGTGTAAAGATTCCGCCAAGCTGTAGCCGATGTGCCAGGGTGGGTACATCCATGTGTCGTGGCTTAGTGTTAACACGTCTTTCCAGGAGTTGTCTTTCGAGATATTGAATTGATAGGGTGACGGCCAGCTTACCTCTGGCATCGTTTGCGAAGAGTACTCATGTATAGGGATTTGGCGGCGTACACCTGTTGATGAAATATTTCCTGACCCGGATGATTTTGAGGTGTTGTTTAGTTGTAAGGTGACGTTGACAGCCCATTCTTTTGCGTCCCATGAAGGTGAGAGTACCTGCCCCCAGGCTGGTTGCTCTGTTATATTTTTCGGAGGCAAGAGTTCCCAGCTCACATTCCCAGGGAAAAAGCCGAGTTCGAATGCTACGGCGTCTAATACGAGGTATAAGTTTCCGTAGTCAGTGATATATTTTGTATCATATTTTTCCATCCAGATCGAATTTTCCAGGCGCTCGTGTCCTGATGAGCGGTGGGCGATGGTTTTGGGATCGCTCGCATTAAGGAAATCGATCTCGTAGTTGCGGCCGACGGTCACGCTGAAAATGGAGCTGTTGTATCTGGCATTTTCTGACGTATTAGAAAAGAAAGGAAATGACGAAGATCAGGTTGTGATCTCACAGGAGGTGGAGCGGAATAGAGCTCGCTGCCAACATCAACCACAGCAACGCCCGCGGCCGCGCGATATGCCGCACATTGCGAAAGCTGAGAATTCCAATATCAAAGTAAGTACCCCGGGCATGTAAGCGATTGATATCTTGTCGGGTTGGCGCGCAAACTAGTTGCATGCAGTAGTTGCTGGAGGTAAGGAGGCCTGTGCTGAGGATATTGATGAGGATATGGTATGCCGTACTAAGTCTGGCGATGTATTTCGCGCGGCCTTCGTGTAGCGTTCCGATCCCGCCGTCTTGTTCTCGAACGGCAATACCCACGATCATTAGGATGAAGTTGGCGGCTAGCGTGACGGTTGATATGAGGAGGGCTAATTTGACGTTACTGCGCCAGTCCCATGCAGATTTCTCTGCGGGCTTATCGTGGACGGATTCTTGCGAGGAATTGGGGAGTGCGGGCGATACTATTTTGTATCGGAGGCGCTGTCTTAGGAGCCATTGTCTGTTTATGTGAGTATACAGTGCGACGCTGAAGCTGCTTGGGAGGGGATAGCGGACAAGAACATTATTGTTTATGCAGCCGGAAGGTAGGATGAATCAGAGTTTCGAGAGAGACAAGAAGCACTGAAATGATCTGGGGGGTAGCTCATGTGAGTTCATCCGTAGGGTGGCGACAAGGCATAGCACAAGCTTGCCCGCCCCCCTGATCTTCAATGGAGATGGGGCTGAGTCTCGGGTTACTCCTTGGCGCATAGATGTGTAGGGGTCACCCTTGTTCATCTTCACGGGGCGCGGCAGCCTGACGACGTCTTCGTGCGTCGGCTGTGCATTTCCCTACTGAACTTGATTAACGGTATCGTAATTACAAATAGTTCCCTCCATTTAGGCGACAGACGGGCGATAACTACACATGCTGTACACAATACAGAGTCCAAAGGGGGAGGATATCTGCACAAATGGACGCTGGCATTGGTAATTCATTGCCAGCCTGACAGCCTCAACCTGGCTTAAATAATATGCAATGTTCCAATCTAAGTATTTCTGCAAGTCAGCCACGTCCCGCCCCTGTAATCATACCGTTCATCTCTGCACATATCAAACTAGGCACGATACGACTGTATAACCCATTTCAAATCCACATACCCACTCAAGAAAGCCAACCTGCACAGCTTAGCAAAAGCCGAGGCCGCTATGCATCTAAGTGGCACCAAACTAAACAGCACCCACCAAGCTGATAGGCTCAGCCCAATGTAAAACACCAGCAGAGCCTCCTACTACGGCATGGCTAAGTAAAAGGATCCCGTAGACACTTTGAGAGTAGTGGCATGTTGGTTGGAGTTTTGACCTACTGTATCCAATCATCTCACTTGCTCTGAGTACATCACTAAGGAGAGAAAGAGTCAGGCTCTCGATGAGGCTGCCAAAAAGACTTCAGCCCCATTTCTCCTGCGCCCTAAGTAGCTTGGTGCGGAGGCCCTTCCTTCCCACCGCACTTACTTTTCACCACGGAAAATCTGCAGAGAAAATTATTCCAAGGGATCCTTCAAGGAATTCAGGCGAAATCAATGAGCCTAGTTAAAGGAGGTAGTTAAACCACCTCATTTCCCTCTGGACCATAGCAGGTGTGCTTCGCAACCACAGCTTGAAAGATTTGAATAAAAACCCAGATAGATAGCTCCATTCTAATAAGCGTTCCCATTTAGTATTCCTCGAATTGCAATCCAAAAGAAGGCGGACGAAAAAGAGGTAGAAAGGAAGCGGGAGAAGGGAAGATACATAAGATGCGCCATGTAAATAAGTGTCGTGTCGCATAGGTCATAGGTGTTTTAATCAGGTCTGTTGGCTCTACCGGCATGCCATTGGTCCTATCTCTAGCTTGGACCTATGTGCTATGTATGTAGTGTACAATATATTCCCCACTATTCAATCCTAATTCTGCTAAATTAAACATACCACAAGCAGGAAGGTCCCAGGCAGCCAAACACAGGCGGGCACATGCGTATTACTAGTAGTATCCGGTTTGGTGGGGCTCGGATGGCTACCGGCCCGTCTGTGGCCTGACCTTTGCGGCGCTGATGACTTTTATGTTCCGGCTCTCGCCCAGATCCTTTCTTTTTTACTCCCCTCTTCATGAAATAGTCTTCCCCTTCTCTCAGCCTCTGCTTCTTCTGTCTTATTCAAGACCTGCTAGGAACCACAATGTCTGTGTCTCCGCTTTTTTGCACCCCCGGGGGTTTGGATTATACTCTTTTGTGGAATTTGTCGCATATTGACCCTTTTTCTGCTAGGAATTCTACCGTGCTGCCCCCCGGCACCTATTGGGGCCAATATCAGGATATCACCAAATCCAATACCCACCTGAGCGTGGCAGAGAGATTGTGGGTCGCATGGTATGCGTGGGTGCAGAATGATGTCCTGGCCACCGGCATCATGTCCTTCCTCATCCACGAGTTGTTCTACTTCGGCCGCTCTCTTCCGTGGATCTTCATCGATAGCTTGGGTTTCTTCACAAGATACAAGATTCAAAGTGTAAGCGGCAAGCCTAACATCTGGCACTAACCGAAATCAACCCAATTACAGCCGCTATCGAAACTAACATTCTGCTTCAGAGCAAAGTACCTTCATTACGCGAGCAATGGGATTGCGCCAAGTTTGTGCTTCTGAGCCACTTCACCGTTGAACTTCCTCAAATATGGTAAGTTCCTGCCCTCGACGGAATGGTATTCTACCTGAAGTTTGCCTCTCAGGCCTGATTGAGTAGTAACGGATCTTCTAGGCTTTTTCACCCGATGGCCCAGTTCTGCGGTCTATCAACATCGATTCCTTTTCCGTCTCTCTGGACTATGACATATCAGATTACAATATTTTTCGTGATGGAGGACACTTGGCACTATTTTTTCCACCGAGCTCTTCATTGGGGTCCACTCTACAAGGCTATTCACAAAATTCATCATCAGTATTCCGCACCATTTGGTTTGGCCGCCGAATATGCTTCTCCTATTGAAGTGATGATTCTCGGCTTCGGGACCGTCAGCTCCCCGATCCTCTGGTGTGCTTTCACCGGTAACCTGCATATCCTCACTATGTATATCTGGATTGTATTACGCTTGTTCCAGGCTATCGATGCCCACAGTGGCTACGAATTTCCTTGGAGTCTTCACCATTTCTTGCCTTTCTGGGCTGGTGCTGATCATCACGACCTCCACCATGAGAAATTCATTGGGAACTACTCAAGCAGCTTCCGCTGGTGGGACTACCTCCTTGACACCGAATACACTCCGGATGCCCTGAAGCGCCGAAGAGGGGAAAAGGTGAAGGCAAAGAAGACACAATGATCTGAACATTGGCAGTGACGGTCTGCCTATTTTCTCTTCAATTTGGGCGTTGGCTCTGTCTGGAGCTATTTACCTGATAGATGATAGCCTTTATTATGGTACTGTTCAAGGGTTGATTTACCATGACTAGACTTAGCTATTGTTGAAACTAATTGGTCTTCTAAACATCGCTAAACTCATGCCGTAGCCGAGAGATTCATGGCAAAAGATGAAGCGGGCTGTCTCGATTAATATACGATTTGTGGCTCTGTGATGAGAACTGACTCTTCGAACAATTTTAGAAGAACGTCCATGGCGCGGTTATGAGTGCTAGGAAATGATTGGTACTCAGCTACTGTACGAAGACCGCGCCGATTCTCTTACTCACGCGTCTGTTGCAGCTTACGCGTTGTGACTCAACTTGTGAGTCGTCGCGCAGTCACATACATGACGCCAAACCCGTGCTCAACCTAGCCGGTCAGGAGGAACACTGCATAGAGGTTAGGCTACGTGTGTGTCGTCTGACCCTTGAGACCGGGTTCCAATATTCAACATAAGTTACAAGTATCGCTTACCTTTGTGCTATTTCACATTGTTCACGTGTTTGACGTGTGAAACTGCTTATACTCATCATGCTTGACTGGACCTATCACAGCGCACAAATGGTCTTGACAATTTACGCGCCGAGAAACCTGTCCATGACTGCGCGAAGTACATCTACGCCAGATGTAAAGGCACCCTTGTTCCTGGGCGGTTGGAAAAGTGCTTAGCGCCTTGGAACATTTATTCAGAAAGGCAGAGACTTCAACCGGCGAAGAGGGCCTGCGTTATGTGCTCCCACCCCATACCTGAAAGTGATCAAAACACGTTCTTCCACCCTGTTCTCCTCTTTGCAGGCCCTTCGGGGTCGATAGGATAACCATGGCAGGGTGGGAGCTCTACTCTGCATTGCCGCTCACGGGCTCGCAAGTCCGCATCCTGACAGTCGAGCCTGGAGAGTATGGGGAGACACTACAGACCAAACTGCGTCTTGGCTACCTGCTCCACCCAACAGGGGCGCTCTTGCTGGAGGAAACTTGTCCTGTTCAATACCAAGCGCTGTCGTACCATTGGGGACCCAAAGGAGAGCGCACAGTCGGCCTGCAACTACTGGCGAGTGTCCATTGGGGAGTCAGCATTTCAGGGTTGGCACGGCTCAGGCACGACTGGCAGCCGGTGAATTTCTGGATCGACGCGATCTGTATTAATCAAGAATATTTCGAGGAAAAGGCTCTCCAAGTACCTCGAATGTGAGACATCTATGCGAATGCTGAAGAGGTGGTTGTGGCTGGGACACGGAGATCAGCAGATTCGAGATCTTCTTGATCGATTGGCACACACCCTAGACAGGGCGACTGATCAACAAGTCGCTGAAATGGGTGAAGTAGGCGAAAAATTGGAGGTCCTATGCGTTTGGTCCTCTGCAGGTCCTAAAACCGCGGTTCCACAAACTTCAGCGGAGCTCGTTCAACGCATCCAAACTCTGCTGTGGCTTCCATGGTTTAGTCGAGTGTGGTGCAAACTGGAAATCTGGGCAGCTCGCAAGGCATCACTACGTTACGAAGACATTTCATGCGAATGGCAAAATTTCGATGCCGATTTCTTCGAACGCATAGATACGAGCACTACTGCAGACGTCCAAAGTGTTCCGGGAATGACACGAGCTATGCAAAGTCTTGCACGAATCCGAGACCAACATTTGAGAGCCGACGGCGCAACACTTGCAAGCGTGAGAGACAAAGACATACGCAACCCGTACCTCAGGGAAGATTGTGCTGGATACAGAGGGACTAGATAGAATGATGAATGCGATGTAATGTATGATATAGAAGAGGAACTAGTAGATGGCTATCTACTACATATATAGTAACAGAATAACTCAGCACCGGAGCCTGAGCCCTCAGGTCTCAACAGAATACAACGCATCGCAGTGGGTATTCTCACCCCTCTCACCCTGTTCTCGCGCGCTCTCACCCCGGTCTCCAGAATTCTCACCCATATCACCCGCACTCGCCCTAACACAGAAACTGACGCTAATTAAAGATCCAGGGCTCATTGGTTATTGACCACGTTTAGTATGTGGCTTAAGTACGGCTGAGCGGACAGGAAGCCCTGTTCTCCACACCCTATGGTAGTATGTACCAGATATTCCCCAATAGGGCTATATATGGCTACATTTTTCTTGGTTTTTACTAGAAAACATGATCTATTCTCTTTGTGAGGATGCTCAGATAAGATACTCACAGATCAACGTACGGCGTAGCATACGATACAATGAAGTGGTAGCGGTTCGAACGAAAGTAATAGCTTGAGGAGAATAGGGAGGAAGTTGAGATGGAACAAGATACATCCATGGATATAGGCGTAGATGGCATCTACGAGGCATCTACGTCAGGCATACGCGAATGGTAGCAACCCCAGTTCGTTACGTCCTTCTTCACAACTTTTTGATGGAACTCAAATTTCATTTATATTTTCTCCAACTTCAGGAAATAAAAGATGATCTCCACCAATGATTTTCTATATTTTCAACACATCACTTCCCGAAAAGCATTTCGCGCACAATTTCCTTAGACAGAGATATCTCGAACATGCTTCCTGCCCCCTGACAATCCAGCCAGAGGATCTTTTCTTCCAGGTTTGGAAGCCCCCATAAACTCGACCGTTCTATATCTCACCCACAGTTTGGCCCTGATAGAATGGCAAAGCGGCGTCAGTCCCCATGGGTGCACATCAGATTTAAGGAGCACTCCGGTTGGGAACAGATCCACAAGCCTGAGGCGCTGCAGCGAGGGTCGTCCACGCTGGGGTGGAAGACATCGCAGGGGAAGAGGTTCCAGCGGGGATGACGGCGGTCACCTTAGGTGCTGCACCCCTGCCATTGTAGAGGGCAGGGCCTGGAATCAGATAGGTGCGAAGGTTGTTGAAGATATTGACTAGGATGCCGGGATCGGTTGGCTTGTAAAACTGGGTGGCAGGAACGCCTTTGGGAGTAGCAGTGCCACCCGCTGTTACCTTCAGGTTGATGCATTGCGGGTAAGCTTGTGCACCATTGTCGCTCATTGCGTTATGCAATGCGATGATCTCATGACGAAGGACATAGTCTCCTGCTGCGATATCGGAGGGGATGTTGACCGTCCAGGTATTGTTCGCAGCCATAAGCTCACCGCTGGCCCACCATCCGGGGGACTTGCTGTTGTCGAGAAGACCAGCTTCTTCAATTTTGAAAAACTTCAGCTTCATCTTGTCCACAGAAGCGCAGCTCCCATTGCAGTTCGCAAGATAGCTAATAACCTAAGTTAAGTTAGCGTTATGTTTAGATTTAACCACTTCTGTCTCGCTTGTTGCCCTGTTCCTCTGATCACTTACCGGACCACGGTGATCTTCAAACCATCTGCTCCAGTGCAGCGTCACATTACCACCAGCAACAACCTCTCCAGCGAGAGCACCAGGCTTAGCGTCCTGGTGGCAGATAATATTCGGGTGGCTGTAATCGAAGGTTTGAATATAGGCGTCCTGAGTAGCCGCAGTTGACCACGCAATGAGTTCAGGGACGTTTGGTTGACCGGGGTATTTATCGACCAGGTATCCACCATAGGATTTGCCATCAATGTCGACACGGTCGATGTGTCCATGAGCTGCAGCCAGACCAGCTGTGCCTAAGATGAGGCACGCAACTTTAGAAAGAGACATTGTTACGTAAATAGTGAACAGGGTAAACGAAGAACAACTTCAGTCAATGAAGTAAAGGAGAGAAGTAATAAGAAGGATGAGACAATGAAGCCTTTGAGGGAATAGAAGGACTTTATATATGCCCAAAGTTGTTCAGGCCTGTATTCTAAATTCTAATATTGTAAATAAGACAATGCCTTGATGCATTCAAGACATACAACAGCGATGGCATACTGGTAATGGTTTCAGCTCAAACCTTGAAACCCCAACAGTCCTGGTGCATTAGCCACGGTTTCAGGCCCAAACTTGACACAAGTGGTTGTTCATTTAATAAAATGTATTCAGGGGTCCAATAGAAGTTCTAGCATCCATTTTTACATGTTTAGATAACATCTTAAATAAATGCCGACGGAGTCTCCATTTCTTATATGCGTTTACTATAGGTAGCTGTTTGTGCATTTGTCATGCTGAAGATGAAAAGGGTAATTCTTTCAATCCAACCTAAGTAAGTCACGACTCAGTACATGATTAAACCTCAATGTGAACTATCGTATAAATTTTATTTGTTGGTTGTAACATAGTACTATTCTGGAAGTATCCACTTTAAGTGTTTTGGTTCCTTGTTAGAATGCATAATATATTAAGTCTTTAACGTAACGAACTCATTTATCTGGACCCTGATGATCAGGAGAAAGAACCAGGATCTAAGGTTTCATATTGATTTACTGGACTACAACCTCCTTCTAAGCGATCTCACATATTCATGATTACATATAGTAAGAGCATCAGTAATCTGTTTAGTACTAAAAAAAAATCATGACTTCATGATTAAGGCTGCCGTAGCTTGGGAAGAAGAATATCTTAGTTATCATATGGTAGACAGCTCAGACAATGACCCATCTGCATCTCTAACAAATGCAACCAACTTAGCTGCTTTTAATTGTACTGCCTATTTCCCTTAGTTTATATCTCACTTGATACTTAAACTTCGTAGGGGATGATAGAACATATATCATGAAACAACTAGTAAAGGAACCACCCCACAGAAGTTTAAGCTGAAGGGTTTTTACTAAAGGAGGGTAACTGCCTATATGATTAATGTACATTTTTTTAGCATAAGCACTTGAGTCATTGCAAGATTCTGAAGAAAATGGACGCAATAATTGCAACATGTAATTCCAAGCTAAAAATTTCACCATCTAGCTACCTACCTTTCGAGTCGAGTAGCATTATCATAATTATCCTAAACTCAGCTGTGCGATAAAGACGAGCCTGCACCCCTAAGACCACTATGTTTGACCCCAACTGTTTTAGGTAGATTGCTTATCCTAAGCGAGAGCAAAGCGGACTTTGATAAAATGCGTCGCTTAGAAGTTACGTAATATTAAAGAATATTGTAACTAACGGCGGGAAGCTAACCGATCACCTGATCAGCTCGTTTGTTTGATCAGCTAGCACTAACCTTTTCTATCTGGTAAAACAGCCTACGGAATTTAGATAGTACCGTTAAGCGACGTTGTTACTAACATAATCGCGAAATCCAATTGAATTACACTGTATACTATGATTGAATTGCTGGTTCATGTGGTGGACTCTTTTGACGTTACTAAAACAAGATATTCTTTTCTGTGTACTATCGAATTTCAAGTGATTGAATGTTTTGCGAATTTTCCGCTTTGTAAACCACAGCTCAGAGCTACACGTATCTCCGTCGCGTGTGGGAAATGAGATGATCAAAGACGTTAGTTCTACATATTTAGGAACCTAAGCCACAGTAAGATTGATTAATTTAAACGGTCCATTATTGACACTTCCAAAGTTTTGACTTCATGGGTTCGTTGAGGATTTCTATCGCGAATGCTCTTTATAGACTTATATTAGACTTTTCCAAATGGAATGATACTAGTTCGCAAACTCAAGGTAGTATCGTCGCGATAACGCCAGCTTTCCAAGAATTCGGGATCAATTATCACCCAATGTATGAGAGACCCCCTTTCCATATTCTATTTAAGATAAAATAAAAGATGCTGATAGGTATTGGTCAGATTTAATTAGGAACAATAATCATCAAGATACAAACGCTATAATACAAGCATTCGTTTGAGTTACGATAAGGACTGGATTCGATGATAGCCCCTACTCTTGTACCAGAGCTAGGAAATAAAGAGAGAAAACTCCCGGTCTATACGCGTGCTCTCTTATATACATAATCGTAATAGATATTCATAAACAGGTGTAACGAACTGGTGCTGTTACCATTCGTGGATGCCTTGCGCCTGCGGCATCCACTTAGGCATCCATGCCTACACGTGTATCTAGTTCATCTCAGCTTCCTTCTTCTTCTTCTTCTTCTTCTTCTTCTCGAGCTATTGCTTTTGTCGAACAGCTATTGCTTTCTTTGCTTCGTATGCTACGCCGTACGTTGATCTCTGTGAGCATCTGAGCATACTCACAACAGGTATCGAGTTAGGTAATCTATATCCTTTCCGTTAATAGGAACCACTATCTAGGCTTCGTAGGGAGCTTAATAGCAGAGCAAGAGAAGGGCCTCGAGGCTTGTATTTGTGTCTTTTCCCTGGGACGAGCATAGGTTCAGTGTGAGTTCTCCCCTATCACCCCAAGGGTGAGAATTGTCACCCAGTTCTCACCTCTCTCACCTCTCTCACCCGCACTCACCCGCACTCACCCTAATACTAAAACTGACGCTATTTTATGATCCAGGGCTCCTTGACTATTGGCCGCATTTAGTATGTGGCTTAAGTACGGCTGAGCGGACGGGAAGCCCTGTTCTCCACACCCTATGGTCGTTCGAACAAATTTAGAATTGATATCAGAAAATTAATCCAAGACTGTTTAAAATGTCTGATCTTACTTTCAATCATTCACCATATTGAGGGTTGCAAAAGCTGTAATAAAGAAACCATTAAAGGCCAAGACCGGGCATCACAGCCGCGAATATACTAGGTACATCGTTTAGCTATCTCTCGCTTCCGACTGGCATTAACCCTTACTCCTCCTGACCTGACTTTCAATAACTGCAAATGTAGTCAGATAGACAATTATCTCCAAGTCGTTGGCATGGCCTTCTCGCACTGCACTTTGGTCTTGCTCTTTCTTCACCGTATC